AAACGGATGCTGATTATATCACTCAGCTCGCCGAAGAAGCCCGACAACTTGCACGCCTACGTATTAGTCGCCAGCGGGACTACGTATAAAGACGGTACAACCTTTGTCACCGACCAGTCTCCTACGAGCCAGGAGAGAAAGTTTGGATATGAACTCCTATTCGGCGCCGTGGCCTCTCAGAAAAACTGTCAAGACGGTACTTCGGCCTCTATAAAGTTCTACGACATCTCAGTTTCATTAATTAAGAGGTGGTTCCTGATACTGCGCACTCCTTAAGGTGTCAAAGGTATGCTCTAGAAATTGTGCACGTGGTACAGATGAAGCCTTATTTCTCCGAATGAACTGATGCGTTTCCAACGAGTACAAACCACTTTGATTATAAAGCATTGGGATGATGCTTTCTTGAATGGGAGGCTAATGTCACGGCTAAAGGCCAGACAAGAAGACAGAGGATGACGAAGTGATGAGCGTGGACAGCACCCACGGTTCCTCCGAGGAAGACGATGTCGAAGCGGCTGCTCTTTTGTTCTGTTAATACAGACCTCGTTTTTTCTGGTCGCACCGTCGTCCTGTATCCTGTTATTTTCACCTCGCGACAATATACATCTATTCGTTCATTCTCAATACTTTGTAATTTTCAACAAATTAAATTTGAAGCGAAGCGAATTCGATTACTCTACTATTCGTTTGAATATTCAAACCATTCGAATATTCGCACTAGGCTACATTTGACGATTCAAACTGCGGAACTGAAAGCACCATCCATTAGTTTTGAAAGTATAGTTATGGGAAATTTTAGTTATTTTCACTTTTGCTTGTAGAGCACTGTCTTGGCTTATGAGACGGTAGCGGCAACTTTTGAAGGAGTTGCGTTGGCTTGTATCGCACATGGGGGACAGTAGAATAGTTTGGGGCTTGGAATGATGAAACTGCAAAAAAAAGGACTATAATGTTTTAAATTTTGAACAATCCTGATATGATGTCGGATGCTGCTCTGAAAGGTTCCTCAAGTATGTGTTCTTGAAACAAGTCTCAATTGTGAAGCTACATTCATGTTGACAGGGGATGTATGAAAGTTGTTAGGCAACACTCGTTATCTCTGAGAGGGAGAGATTTCTGTTGTAGAGTGCTTTGCTTCCACTTCTAATGAAGTTGCTACTTGGACCTTTGGTCTTTTCGTTAGAATGTGTAGCATTACACTTGAGAGATGCTGAAAGTAGCCAGAAAATAATGAATGTGCACTGTGAAAACGTATTAACCCTTTAAAACTCTAGCTGTCACAGACACAGAAGTGTTGAATGGAACCAAATAGCGAGATGCTTTAGGAAGATAATAGAGAGAATGCTAAAAAAAAACTGTAGAACAAAGTAAAGAAAATGGTTGTCCATGTGGGGTCCCACAATCTCTGCTACAGCATATGCAAGGCAAGACCTGTCCAGTAGAAACATTCTTTGGGAATTCCTGTACGATTGTGTAGCCTAGTTACACAGGTAATGAACTGAGAATGCCGAATCGCTCAGGAAAAATGCCCCACAGCATTTGTCTAAGCAAGAGGGAACTTCTTTGCAGAGAATGTTCAACTGGAGGGAGGGAAGGCATAATTTTTCTACTGTTCCGATTTCTTGCCAGCTGGGAGGATTTCTTTACGAGTTGGGCTAACAACGTTAGATCCTGTGCTAGGCTTGTGTAAAAGCATCACTACAAAGTTTCATTTTTATCTTAGGTTACGTTACATTATAAACTTTAAACGACAGTTTTTCTCTTGGAGTGGACGAAACACAATAGAAGTGCACATCAAGATACATTGGTGGGTTAGTGCTCGATCCGTATGAATGTGCCATTGTTTTCTGAAGATAGATAACCATGGAATGGAGCTAGGGATGCAGATATGAGAAAGAAGTGCGGATTGGATGCCCTCCTTTGATATATGTGGAAATGGCTGCAACGAAAATACTCTAATGAGGTGTTGGTTAGCAATTGGTCTGTGACAACAAGCATGTTTCGTATCGTGTCAAGATGAAAGACGAAACTGTTTCTTCAACTTTAATGGATTTTTTTTTTTTTTTGGTAGTGCACTTGGGGTCAATTAGTCCACATTATGCAGCAGTACTTCAGATCTCTTCTCAACAGTCCTACTGACCTGCCGACTCATAGGGTGGTTAGCTTGTTGACACAGAACGTGGTCGCAGAGCTCATCGGCAGGGCATGGGGTTTCTTCATTGCGGCAACATGTTCACTCTGCTCTCAGAGAACGACAATTTCGAGATATGAATTGTCGGAACCCCGAAGTTCTTTCTGGGCCGGATATCTTCAGTGTCGTACTCAATTCTAGTGTAACCGACTGCCACTTTTAGTGTTCAGATAAGGTGAGGTATTTAGTAATGGTGTGTTATGGTTGAGTCCGGGCTTTTTTTTCTGTATAGACACCTCATGAAGGGCTAGGGGTAGCGTGAAAATATTTAATAATGGAATTTGTTGCATGGTAGAACTTGATGGAATATTCCGTTGGAAGGACATGCCAAGACTTCTTTCGCAGAGCAAGGAAGCTCTAGCTGTTGCACACTCGCGTCTCAACTTGACTGATTCCGAGCAGGTACCGGAAGAAGTGTGGTAGATAATGCCCAAACAAGCAGATGCAGTGTACTTCCAGTGCACATGCCAGACTTATCAAAGCCTGAAACTGTGCAAAGCCTTTTGCAAATTCAGCGGAAATCGGTGCTCGCCTGAAATTTGCTGGGAATGTTATGATGGCAGTCAAGGGAAGTCCTGGTACAAAGTATAATTTCTCAGAGACACTGCAATAAGAGTAAATAAAGGAAAATTTTGGCAGATACCTTTGCCTACGATGTGTACGTGCACACATGTACATTCAGACAGAAAAAAAAAAAGCACTCTCAAAGAAATGCAACAGAATAACCAGCCACCACAACTTGCACTGTAGCTAAGCACAAAATGGCTGACCCAAACATTTCCAGGAATATGCGGAACACAGCACTATAATAGGGAGGATGCTGCATCAGATGCATGAAGTACTTTGAAAGTGTTATCAGCATTGGCCACTTGCATTAGAAAATTGAATGCAGCACATAGATTACAATCATGCGAAGCAGGCACATTTCTCATAAGTACGACCTCCGTGCCACATAGCTGTCATTGATGTTAGAAGGATAGAAAAAGGTGGGGTTTACTGTGAAATTTATTTTTGAAGCTTGAGCTGTATAGACATGATGGGCTATGCGTTGTGCTGTTGAGCCTGCTCCTGCTACTGAAGGGACCTGTGCTTTTGTATGTAGGGCTCGCCTTGTGACAAAATGAAACTTCACTGACCTTTTGATTTCTATATAGTGCAGTTGCTGGTAGGCATCTTCATAAGGTGATTCGCCCCGCCACGGTGGTCTAGTGGTTAAGGTACTCGGCTGCTGACCCGCAGGTCGTGGGATCAAATCCCGGCTGTGGCGGCTGCATTTCCGATGGAGGCGGAAATGTTGTAGGCCCGTGTACTCAGATTTGGGTGCACGTTAAAGAACCCCAGCTGGTCAAAATTTCCGGAGCCCTCCACTACGACGTCTCTCATAATCATATAGTGGTTTTGGGACGTTAAACCCCACAAATCTTCATAAGGTGATTCGAAATCAAGGCTGTTTCTTCTCCTCTTCTGCATCTTTCCTGCAGTGTTGCACTGCCCCATATAGACTCCTGAAAATTCTGTGGAGCCTTTGAATCTTGCTTTTGTGTTTGGGCAGGGTATGTAAAACTTAATTGACCCATTGCACTCAATGACGTATATATTTCAGCCCGTAAATATTGTCACTTGTGTTGGCATGATGAGACTGAAATGTGAGCAAGATGCCCTTTGCTGTACTGGTTCACACGTTACTTCTTAAGTACCCCTATTAGCCGATCACTCCTCAGTTTATTCCTCTCTCCCCTTTTCCTTTTTCTTTCTGCAGATATACATCTCTATGAATGGGCATGAACAGATGCCGGTAAGTAAGCTTTGCAAGAAGCTTCTAAAATCAATTCAGTGGAAAAATTCTTCATTTATCGGAAGAAAGTGAACTATCCCGTAGCCTTGGCAATTCAGATTGGTTTGCCATTGATTGCAGCAACTTCACGAAGATTCAAAATTCGTTACACAACAGAGGCATTAACAAAACACATGTGAATTTCAGCACAGGACTAAGAATGAACACAAGAATATAGGTATATACATATATATATATTTCTAATAAGAAAGTTGAACTTGAAATACACCAATGTCTCATCGACATTTTGATAATTAAGCTAGTACTTTTTGAGTTACAAATATTGTTAGACTAATTAGTTTCTAGTTATTACCAAAAAAATTTGTAGCAGCTATTTCAGTGTATTGGGAACAATATTCACTAGGTCCGCCTCGAGTAATGCTGTTTCTCTTTTTTTTTAAATCGTGCTACTTGAGAATTGAGACACCCTCTATATTTCCATTAAGAAAGTTGAACTTCAGAAAAATATATATATACCAATGTTACATTGTCTTATGGTATTGTACCATGGTATGTATCTTTCAAAAAATGAAAATAATAAGTCAATGATGCCTAACCAGCTGTCAACTAAATAAACCGTTCTGGTCTGGGATTTAGCTCTTGAGCTTATTTTAGCTAGCATTTTTTAATAGCTCTTGGGCATTGGGAAAGTACAGCTGGTATTATGTAGCAATTTCGTAACAGTTTGGTGTCACTGTTGTAATAATTTACACTTGCACTTTGTACAAAAGCTTGTTTGCTTCAGATTTGTTATAGGGCAAAAACGGGCAGAGAGTTAAGGATGTGTAGCATGTACTCCTTAACCTCTGCTCCCATTTCGTACCGTTTGCAGTAATATGGCTTGTTTGCCATACTTGACATCATTTTGCTTTAAAGGACCTTTTCTATTGTTTTATTTGCTTAAATAGTTCATACTTTCTAAAACAGGGAAAATAACAACCACCCGGTTTTTCGTTAGACGTTTGATTCTGCAGATTCAGTGTTCCAAAAGAACACGCTGTTGATTGTTCACTGGCTGGCTACACAAAAATCATTATGTGCAAGTGTTTATCTGTAGTGTCAGCTGAAATGCATTTCTGATGAGCATCAAAGTCATAGGCGTCGGTGCTCTTGACAGCTGAATGTTGTAGCAACAGAGTCACCTTAGCAGGAAGATGTGAGAGGATTCTGTGGCCGTTTCTTTCCCTCTCGGCAACTTGGAATGACTGTTTCTCCTCTTTGCCCTTAATCAATTTCAACCAGATCTGGGCACCTCCGACACCACCTCAGGAGGAGAATGATCTGTACATAGACTACAGCGTGGGTTTTCTCTACGAGCCATCCGTCATGTCGGAATCTAGCCTGCCCGCTGTGTATATCAAGAAGGAGGCCAAGAGGCTGAAAGTTGACCCACTCTCCACAGGTTAGACGTCACCTTCATTGTCCTTTTATGCGGCTGTCTATAAGACGATTACGGTTGTTGGAGGATTAAAAACAATGTATAGAAAATCGTCAACATTGCACTTAACGTATTGCTAATAGACTTCAGGCTGGTGCACACCGGCGACTAGCAGCGGTTGCGCGACCATTTGCGACTGGTCGCAAACAGTTGCGAACAGTTGCAAACGGTCGCAAAGCGACTCCTTTGGCTACTCGCTTCCTGATCGATTTTTCAGTCGCGCGACTGCAGTCGCAAAGCTTCTAGAGCCAATCAGCGATGCTCAATTTTTGTTTTTTTTTCTTGTTTTTTTATTGCACTGGCCTCCTGCCGCCAGATACAAAAGAGTGCGTTCCTCTGGGTCTGTGGCACCATAACCACTATGGAATACTTGGTTTGGAGATGGCGGGGCGCAGCAGCTCGAGCAAAGTGTCGAATTTACGTGGCTGCATTCGCAAGAAGCTAAACACCGTCAACGTAAAGAGAAAATAAATTGTGCGTTATCTTTCCCCCATATTCAGAATCGTTTTTTGTCTTGAACTTGACTTGTCACCCCCTTCAATGCAGCGCGTTTGGAACTCGTTTGTGCTTCATGCTTTGGCAAGGACTTAAGACATCGCGTTGGAGACGCGTTTGTGCTGCATTGGAGGCTGTGGCAAGTCGAGATAAATTCAAGAGCGTTTCTGAACGCGTACGACTCTTGGAAATACTCCTCGTCATCTCAGCGCAGCTCGGGAAGCAGGCGGCTTGCATGGCCGGCCAAGTCTCGCTATCGAAAGAACGGTCACACCCACCACCGGCTTTTTTTCCTTGGAGGCATCTGTGCTGCCAGCGCTGACACCATGGCACAGCGCACCAGCACCATTACAATCTCTTGTTCTTCGCTTGCATCGAACTCCTTGACGCTGTTGGGAACGCTGTGCGAGAATGGACGAAAAACAATAAATGTGGCACGCTCGGTTTGCTCCGCTCACTGAGCTGGCGGTGATCAGCTAATCGGTGCCGGTCTCTAGAGTTCTCTCTGATATGAGATCCGGACGTGAGTCTCCAGCTTTGCGACTTTCGGTCACTCGCATGCAACCTCTGCTGGTGTGAACATCAGTCGCTTTTTGGTCGCCAGTCGCGAATGGTCACGCGACCGCTGCTAGTCACCGATGTGCACCAGTCCTTTACACCTCATTATAAGAAAGTTGCATCTTGCAAGAAAATAAGTTTGTTATATCCGAAAACTTGTTTTAAATGTTATTCCTAACATCGTATCTATTGCAAGACTAATTTTCATTTACTTCGTTGTAAATAATATTTTGTTATATCCATATTCGTTATATTGGGGTATGAGTGTAGTATGGTAGATTTTCAGTAAACAGAAATCTCTTTACACGTATAATCGCTTAGTGCGTGTGTGTGTGCATGTATGTATGCATGTGTGCTTGTGTATGCGTGTGCTTATGATTGAGTGAGCGAATGGAGCTACCACCTCTGATATGCTTGGTTTCATACCAAGATGCGGCAACCCAGTTCATCTCTTGGCAAATAGAACTCCTGGTAAACTGAAAATATTTTCTTGGTCACTTCAGGTTACGTCTAATGAGGGTCTACTGTAGTTGCGGTTGATATTGGGTTAAGAGTGCTTCACTGGAAATTTTTTCATGGCTACATAACAGTGCAGTAATGTGGCCTATATGTGGTCATGAGCACGAAATAAGGCTGCTCTAGCTTATTGTGAAGCCAAGAAGAAAAAAAAAATATTTCAGGTGTAATTTAGCTAAAAAGCACTTGGAGTGCTCATTCTCTATTACAAGGAACTTTCATGTTGCATGCTTCTTAAGGATATTTATTCTTGTTCGTATTGTTTGAGAAGAGGCCACGCGGATCACTTCTGAAGCATTACTACTAAAAATCGCTAATGTGAAACCAGGGAGTAACTGTTATTTAATCATGTGCAGAATAAAGAATCTAGTATTTGAAGGGGCCCTAAAACACTTACCCCCGTATTCACAAACGCTCGTCGACTCGACTTTCACCCTTCACTTGACAGAGTTGAGCACTGCGCCGCTGCTCAGGCTAAAAATGGCGCTGTGCTACTCTGAAATCGAAGCAGATTATGGCTGATATGCAGTGACTTGTCCTGCCTAGAGGCGGCGGCGCTCCCATCGGCTTTCTCGAGTGAAGATGAAGCGTTGAGCGAAGGGACGTTCTAGAATACGGCAGTTAGAGATCGAAACTTAGTTGTGGTGTTGTGCATGCGTCTTCAACAAATGTGTAGCCACTAAACCTTTTTGAAATGGTGCCGTAATGGTAGAGTTGAATGCGCCTGATCATCTAAAAGAGGTCCTCGCCCTGTATCACTATTCCATTCGCTATGCTCTGTTCTAGGAGGCTCGTGTCTCCTCCTAGACGAGTGCTCCTCATTGTGCGAGGAGGAAGAGCGACGAACACGCATACCTATGAGCAGACTATTAGTGGATGACATAAACAGACCAGAATGTTGACATCATGGCTAGCTCTGGAGATTACTTAAAGGTCCAGAGAGAAGAAAAAAGTTGTTTCCTAGAATTTGTGATGACACTGCGGCTCGTAGCACTGCCATGTTATGCATTGTTTTTCGTGCTGTCATTCTGATCTTGATGAATGTGTTAACTCTAAAAGTTCTGTTTGAGAAAATTACTGGAGGTGGTTTGAGACACTTTTGAGTTTCAAGTAATGCCGACAACATCTACACGCTATATTCTGCATGAGATATTTCAGTTGGGCCATAGCTTTTTGTCAGCAGCAGGTGGGGTGGATGTTTGATGGAAGCCTGGCTAAACTGCTTGCTGCACCTTTGTTGTGCAGTGACAGCGGCACGCAAGCAGAAGAGCCGCAAGGAAGATGCCGTGCACATTCCCGAAGTCTCTGTTCGATCGGCCGACGGCGGCCATCTTGAAGATGCGGCGCGAGGCCAAGCTCCAGAAAGTTAAGAACCTGATGGTGTGTGGGGCCGGCCAGCTGCCCCCCAAGGGCCTGACTTCTTTGCCCTCACGGCCACTTGCCCAGCAAGGTGGCTTCATGGCGGCTCGCCCGATCCTAGACCTTTCGCCCGACACACCCGAGTGGCTGATTCATGAGGACTGGGCAATTCTACAGGTGAGATTAGGAGTTCAGGGATCCCACTTCTGTGCCAGCTGCACCAAAGTGCGCCAAACGAGACTTGCTGCGCCAAGCCTGATAAAATAGATGGAAATTGCACCAAACTGCGCCAAACCGTTCATCTCAGGGTTCACAACCTGTGGCCCGCGGGCCGCATGCGGCTTGCTGGGCAGTTTTATCTGGCTCCCGGCACGACATCAGAAATCATAAAATCGCTAGGCACTGCAATTGTCGCAGTATTTAATTATAAATAATGTTTTAATTACTGGAGATAGCATTCGAGTCTAATGAAAGAATTCTTTACCTTCCTGCGAACAGGCCTATAACACCTATATACTAGGTGTTAAGATGATGACAGCGACTACATCTCCGCTGCTACCCTGTAGCCTCAGCGTGGCCAGCACGTGGCAAGAAAGAGGAGCGTTCCCATGTGAAGAGAAGTAGATCGGCGTTTAAAAGATAACCAACACTCTAGCCGCAGCTTTTTTTTTTCTTCGCGCGCGGCGTTGAAAGGATAAAAGGTCTCTACGTGTCAGGGACGGAAAAGGGGAAAGCGTGGCACTGGCGCGTCACAGATCGGCATTTGAGAGAGAGTCAACACTCTGTGGAGGTGCTGCGCCGTACTTGCTACCGGGCCGCAAAAATTGGGTGCCTTTCTTCCTCTTTCCTCTTCTAACCACTACTACCACCACCACTACTCCGCGACAACTCTTTTTTTTTTCCTATTCCTCCGCACGCGACCTTCAAGAAGAAGGGTTTATACGTGGCAGGGACGGAAAAGGAAGAAGCGTGGCAGCAGGCGTGCACCAGATCGGCATTTGCATACCTGCCAACTTGTCCGATTTTCCCGTCAAAATGTACGAACAAATTTCGATTGCGCATACGATTTTACGAATCTTGCCTGAAATTTACGAAAAATATTTCATTTCCGATAGAAAAAAATAAATTTAGTAAAATAGCATGGGCTCCGCAATTGGCTATGACGCATTTCCATAGCTGGTCGTGGAGGCCGCAAAAACGACGTTGTGCTATATTCAGCCACCAGAAGAGAAAACTATATGTATTGGTGTTATCATCACATACTTTCGAAGTCTCCCGCATTGTTCGCGAAACTCCCGGATTGCGACCGTTTCTTCCGTGCGTAGGTCTGCCATAAAAATCTCCCGAAAAACAAAATGTGTGTCCAAGATCTTGCCGCATTGACGAAAATGCAAGCCAGTCCGCTCCAAGCTTTTTGCGAGCCCACCGCACTATAAACGAATTTGAGAGGCGTTCATCTAAACTTACACTTGAGTCTCTGTGATGCGAAACCACGACAGATACAGATTCGTGAAATTGTCCAGCCAAACTCATGTGTCCATTGAGCCAAAATTCGAATGTTTCGAACATTTTTTCTTATCACGGCGTGTGATATGAACTTTAGTACGGAAACCGTCGAACGAGGGCCGATCAAGAGCAGCTTGCTCGAAGCTTCGGAAGCGCACGTGCGACCTGCACACGCACTGTCTTGTACATTGCGTGTGGTTGTCTTCGTCACAACCGCTGTGGACGAAACCGCGGTCGTTCGACTCAATCATGTATGGTGACGACGTTGCTGACAGAACTCCTAAAGTATGTGAGCGGCCAACGTTCGGCCAGCCATAGCAACGCTGCTCTCTGCAAACTCTGTGGAGAAAGCCGCGGTAGTTGCGACCATAGATACATAAAACGACGTAGTTTTGAAAGCACGGGGATTGAAAACAAAACTGCCGTTTGCCGCCAATTGCCGCGCACAAAACCGTGGTCGCAGCAATGCGATAGCGATCTACAAGCTCAAAGGGTACGTGGCTGATGCAGCGGTAGGACGAAAGGCGGTATAAAAAAAGGCTAAAAGCATTTTGCTGTTCCTGTCCAAAAAAATCTAGCAGGGAGCATAGCCAAAGCTTTGGCTTGCACGTTCGCGGCAGCCAGCTGCGCCATCCCATCCGTTGACGTGTGTCTCAGGAAGACAAATGCAAGTTGTTGTGACGAAAATATATTTTGGTAGTTCTTTTGATGACGCGAAATTTTGGCCGGGAGCATTTGCGCTCCTCCTTTTAGACTCTCGCCTTGGAGGAAAATTCTACCCTCTTGTGTTGGGCCACTTCAAGCCATTATAAAACCACAGTCCCCCCACCCCTTTAATGTTTTTCCCGACGTTTTTTTTTTTTGTGCCAAAAATGGGGGAAAATGATTCAGCGCGCTGATTTGTCTTACGGCGGCAAAACGTTATTATGCTTGTCGCTAAAGGCAAATCTATGACAGCTACGAATTTTACAAAAAGTCGGTAACCCCCCACACATCCCTCCCCGCTCGGGAATTTGACGTATTTGTCTGTTGCAAGGTTGGCCAGTATGCATTTGAGAGAGCGCAAACATTCCGCTCGAGCCTTTCCTTTCTTCTTTATCTTCTGCGCGTGCAGTGTTGAGGTGTCAGAGGTGCGCGCCGTGAGATTCGGCGTAGTGCTGAGAGCATTCTCGTGGCAAGGTATGTTCGAATTAATCGTCCCAAGTGCTTGCGCATGCGAATTACAGGGCATTTTCGCCAATTGGAATACACATAGCCTTGACGAGACCACAGCGTCAGTTCTAATTAAGTTGAAGTTCAAATTAAGCGTGTTCAAATCAATGAGATTCGACATGAGTAAATTACCATTTCATAATTCCAAAATCACCATGCTTGCCACGAGAACTCTCTCAGTAAGCTAAAAAACGCACTAAAGAAAATTCGTGTGGCTTCACATAGTTGCATGAATGCATCAATTGCTCTGACCTAATAAATTCTGATGTCTTTTTACTATGTCCTACATAGCTCTGACTTCTGACTTCTGGGATGGCTCTAGACTTAACATTCTAAGTCTTGAGCGAATGTCGCTTTGAGCGAATTACTTTGAGCGAATGTCGCTAAAGTAAAAAAAATACAGATTGAAATTTGTGGTATCATGTGCAGAGATATCAGTGCGAAATTCAGAAGTAATTTATAAATAAATGTATAACCGATATTTTATCTCCAAATGATGAACCTGAGACGGGGAAAAGAATGACGTGAAAGTTCTCGAAGTGTTTCACAACCTTGCAAGATCCTTTGTTCTAGGTCAGCGTCCATTTAATATTGAAGTGTTTCAGGTACTTTCTTCTCTGAAGTGCTCCATTATGAATATATATCTATGCCAAAGTACTCCTGATAGTAAGATTACCTGCTCCAAAACTAAAAGTTTAGTGCTGTAAAATGCTTCTAATAGCAAGATTACCTGTTCCAAAATGCTCCAAAACAAAAATTTTACTGCTCCAAGGTTCTCCTAAGTCGCAAGCTTACCTGCTCCAAAACTAAAAATTTACTGCTACAAAGTGCTCCAAAACCAATATTTTACTTCCCCAAAGTGCTCCAAAACTAAAATTGAACTGCTCCAAAAATTGCTCCAGATCGGCAGTCCCCAGTGAAATCACTGGTAGTTTGAACAGGCTAGTTGGTATTCTATAGGCTTGTGTGAATATTCGAGCACGTCTAATGTGTGAGTTTGCCTAGATTAGAATTTAAATAATTGGAAATTTCAAAGTACAGTCGCCGACCTGTTTATTCGGACTCGACCGGAACAGCCGAAAAGTCCGAATAATCAGCAGTCAGAAAATACAAATTCACTCTAAAAAGAGCACTTTTATAGGCCCTATCGCCCGAAAAACTGTCTAGTCTGCACACATGCACGCTTCCGAGACAGTTTGCTTGAAAATAGAAAATTCCCGAGCCACTTCAGACTGAGGTCGGCCGCCTTCTCCACTTTCTTCGCCATCGTCAGCATCTTGTTGCTCCCACGTTGGCCGCGTGTCTTCACTCCCAATGGCGCAGCAATGGGTAGCATCATAGCCATTTCAGCGCACCACTGAACACGCAAGAGAAGCTGAGAACATAGAGAACAAGACGAACCAGGCCTAGCCGCCGAAGCAGCTGACGGACACGCTGACACATGCCAAACACCACAGCGAACAGCTTGGCCGCTCGACTGGCTGAAAAAAGAAAAGAAAAAAAAAAAACGCGCGCCGCACAGTTTTTGAGATCGGCAATGGCGATTTCTGCGTGCATTTTGAAACTGGCCTGACGTCCATCCATAGCTAGTGCAGCATATCAGTGCTGGCAATCTAGCAAACGTATTGTTAACATCACTGTCAGCTTGTAGTGGCGTATGGCAACTCATCCGGTCAGTCAAACGGAGTCCGAATAATCGAATGGCGCACAGTAGGGCGTCCGAATTTTCGGTCGTGAGTTTACATTAGGATCAACAGGGGGAGTGGCGGTGCCATGAAGATGTCCGAATAAACGGGCATGTCCGAATTTTCAGCGTCTGAATAAACGGTCGGTGACTGTATTTGAAATGAACCAATAGGTGTGTAGTAGGTCTCATGTAATTCCCTGTGAAAATGGTTTCATTGCAGTGGAAAGGTGTTAAGCCATGAAAGCACCTATCTAAATGTATATTATTCTACATGTAACCCCTGTAAAGGTGGTTTCACTGCAGTATAGGAGCTGCTGAGCCGTTAAAACACTTATTTAAATGTACATTAATTTGCAACCTTTCAAAGTAGTTTCACTGCACTAAAGGAGCGATAAACCTTTAAAACACCTGTTCAGAAGAAATCTGCCCTGCCGCAAAGCTCCACATCAAGGTTTAATGAATGTACGTATTATTCTCGCATCGATTCATCATTCTTTAAGTTCAAAAGCTTGTTATGCTGGCTTATATGCTCTAAGTATGGTAAGCTTTAGACCTTCACATATTTTACAGGTTATCACTTGCATCATGATGAAAGTCAAATTCTCCGACTATTCAAAGTTGGTTCTACTTTCTTTGAAGAACAACAACAAAAAGAGGCATTTGTCCAAGGCTTGCTTCAATTTTTAAAATTATTGTGCAGGTTAGTTAGGTCATGACGCTTATGCTCACCTTTTTTTTTTATATGTGATACAGTCGAGCCCGCTTATAACGAAACTGAGCGTGATGCGGCATCCGTTCGCTGTATCCCGAAGTTCGTAGTAAATGAAACACAGCTTTTAAAAGAAGTTGCGTGTGAAAACACAAACTTTTTTTTGCCTCAAAAAGTCCGTGATGCACGTGTTTCGAAGAACAGAAGTGATAAGGGCGGTCTCGAGTTCATCTAAAATGGCAGGGTGCTCGTTCGCCGAGGCCCGTGGCATGAGCTGCATGAGGCACTGGCTCCAAAGTTTCGTCGTTCTCGCAATCCGATTCCTCCAAATCGCTCTCGTCACGTACTTCATTCACTATGCCCAGATCGGTGCACGGTTCCGCAGTGTCGGCATCATCATCGGCCGTAATTAAACCATCGCAACAGATGCCCCACCCGCTCTCCTAGGTCGGAGTCGACGAGGCGCTGCCACAAATTGCTGCTGCAGTGGTCCTGTTTCGAAGCGTCAGGCTTGGCATCGGGCCCGACGCCGACTTCGTCGGCCTCGCAAAAAGAGTTTGCGCGCATGTAGCCGTCACCGCCGCCCACGAAATATTCACCATCTCCACAGCTGAATACCGGGATGCCCGAAGCGGAAAGTGGGCTGCCAGGTGGTCAACAGCTACGAGCAAGCGCTCCATAACGTGGCACCTAAAGCGCGGATTACGCTCAAGCCAAGCGGTCACACTTTCGATGTTTTGTTGAGCGGCACGAAAAAGCGTGCTAGTTCTCCCGTCGGCCATCATGACTACACACGCACACCAAGAGCGAGCAAGACGCGCACACGCGACACACATGCCAGAACGCGTGAAACAGCTCTGGGCAGGTTTCCAGTAGGAAAACGAAACTAATATGAGCCAGCGTGACGGGCGTCGCGGAGCGGTGGAGACGAGCGAAGGGGTTATGATCAAGAGAGGTGAGCAGACTTGCGAGAGAAAGGCAAGGAGTTGCGATAAAGAGAGGGGAGGATGCGGCGAGAGGACGACCTTACTTGAAAGGTCAGCAAGGTTGCTTGAAAGGTCTGCGAAACTCGCCTGTAGAAAACCTTGGAAAGAGTGCATGGCCACCTGAATCGGTGCGTGGCGGTGTACTCCCAAGAATCCTGTAGACTCCCAAAAATCTGTGGCCGTGGTCAAAAAATCGTTTTGTTCCGCCGGCGGGAATTGCATGGCCCCACAAACTTTGATATTTCGTGATTCGTTCCGCGCAAATTAACAGCTGTTTTCGCGCTTCCGCACGCGTGCGGAAGGCATGCAGAGTCGAGTGCAAAGTGAGTGAGAACAAGTCTTAAACATGAAACGAATCGCAAATTATCAGAGTCAGTGGGGTAGTGTACGTGCGTGCACGAGACGCAGACTATCGGATACAGTCGGTAGCCAACGATGTTGGCAAATGTTCTGGTCACTCTTGGCCCGACACCAACGACAGTACCAGCAATCAAAAAAAGGGTAGATGACCGACCGGTCTTCCGAAAGATCGGTGGCAGTGTGAAAACACGGACCTCGTCTGGCGATGGGGGATGCTCAGAGTAGCGGGGGGGACAAAGGATGGAGGGGTGCGTAAGAAAAAGCGGTCGGGGAGAGTGGCGATTAGAGGGGCGCGGAGGCAGGGTCAGCGTTTACAAAAAGAATGTATGGCCACCTCGCCAATGCCTGATCGGTGGTCGAAATTGGTTTCCCGGGAAGTCGGCAGACCGCTGACTCTGTTCGCTGTAACCGATCAGTGGTGCTCAGAGACGGTCGTTGGAAGTGCGATTTCGTGCCATTGAACCAATGTATAATTTCACGGTCACACGGATATTGTTCGTTTTAAGCGAAAGTTCGTTTTAAGTGGGGCCGTTATATGTGGGCTCGACTGTATATACTATTCGAACTTCATTCAAAATTGTTTGACCAATATCACTATTTGCTTCAAACCTAAAATTCACTATTCACAGAAGCCTAGTACTCCATAATTGTATAAACGGCGTGGAAGGGCCACAAAAATTTAGTGTCTGACAAGGACTGGCACTGACGTCAAACTAACTTTTATTACAAGGAACACACACACACATACACACACAAAAAAAGAAGAAAATGAGATATATCGCACACATTATCACGCCAAAAACCTCGGTGAAATTCGGGGATGAGTGAGAACCAAAAATGCAGCAAAATTTATGTGGCATTGCAAAGAGGTAACACATCTATTCATTTGACCAATGAAGAAAATGATTGCTTGGATTTCTGTACGCATGCGACGTCATAGTTTCACTTTATTTTTTTGCTGTTTTCTTAGTTTTTGGTTATTCCCGACTTCACACACAGGCTTTTGGGACGGTCACACTTGGGTGCTGTCTAGTTTTTTTTTTTTTTAATGTTCCTCATAATAAAGGTCAATTGGAAGCCAGAACCACTTCATGTCAGTTCGTTGTTTATTGTGTCTTTTCCGTGCTGATTATGCAATCTTCTGTTCAGGGGGAGGGGGGGAATGAGCTTGCTGCATAGCAAGGAGCTCGGCGCTATAAGCTTGCTGTGCACACAGCGCCACAGTGTTTCTCAACTATGTTTGCTTGGTCTTTGTGCTACACACATTTCAGGTAATCCAGCAGCTTCAGGACATCCCACTGAACTTGACAGTGCTTACGCCGGGCCACACGCCGAACTGGGACCTGGTTGCAGACGTGGTCAACACTGTGAGCCGAATTTACCGTTCGCCGAAACAAGTGCAAGGACCGGTACGAGAATATCATTGTACCTCGCGAAGAAGGAAAGATCTTGTACGACACCAACCCAAAGAAGCAGAAGAAGACCAAGGGCATTTACAAGGTGAAACTCGCTCACTCGCTCTTCCAGTTTAGCTAACGAAGAAGCTACCAAAACTGAACTGCCAGAAAAATGGCGATTGGCGAGCCAAAGCACTGAAACACGTGGTCAGATGCAGGACAAATTGTTTTTACTTCAGCTTTCTTCTTTCACCGTGTCAGTCTTGACAGGATTTTGTTACTGTTTTCTACACTGGCTTCAATTGTAGGGGTTGAAAATGTCTGTTGCAATGAGCAGTGTGTATGAGAAAGGCAAAGAATGAAACACACAGGACGAGTGTTCCTTTGTATTCAACGTGTGTGCTGCATTCATAATTGAAACATACCTGATTCTCAGTTCTTCAAAATTTTAAACATGTACTTAGTCTACGGAACGGTGTGACGGTTAGCTCAGGCAAATGCAACCGTAGTATTGCTGCAGGCGTGTCACTAATTTAAGCAACAAACACATTTCCTTTCGACCTTTATGGTCCTTTCTTTTAACATTGTGCTTTTGATTGATTGATTGACTAGGAACAACATTGGTGACATAAAACAGCCGAACTCATTCATAACGAACTAAAAAAGGCTGCAATAAATCGTCGTTATATTAGTAGTTCATTGTATATCGAATCGCGCACAAAAAGGTCCACATTGAGGTCGAACCATTTTTTTTTTTTCACCGAGTATATTTATTAAAAAGAGTGCAAACCACCCTTTCGCTGACAAGTTAGAGGGGCCCTGAAACATTTTTTAAGTAACCATGGAATGAATTCACTGGAAGAGCTTATTGCCTCATGAATTCAACGTCGCAAAAATTTTAAGAATCCGTCCTGTACGAGTGGAGTTACAAAGGTTTGTTGCACGCTGCAATTGCATTCCCTCTTTTCTCGTCTTGACGAAAGCGCTGGAAGTTAAGCAGCGAGGGATGGCAGAGCCACAAAAAAACATCATGCACGCTTTGTGACCTTGAGCATTTTTTAAGGGCGAAGCTCCTTATGGCGTGGCTTGGGCGTCCCTCCGTATGTAACCACCAGTGGCACATACCCGAAATAGGTATAACACTTGACCTCCAAGGTGGTGCCAGTGAGAGATTTCTTCTGTGCGTTGTTTAACAATAAAAAATAGTGCTCAATGTACATGCCAATGGCTGCTAATGGGGAATGAGAGACATGAGCATTCGGCTTTTAGTCAACGCGCACGCTGCGATCCCCATTAGCAGCCATTGGCATGTACATTGAGCACTATTGGACAAGAAAGGGATGCTACATTATACTCGCTGGGTGTAACCTCCTTAGCTTTAGAAAGGTTTAGCGAGCGTTGAGCCACAGTGCCATGAATACAATGAGCTTGTATATACCATGAATGAACTCAAGGTGGTTAAAAATGAGAAGTAGATAGGATAGGAAGATAGGAAGCGCAAGCCGTAAGAAAGTAAAAGCCGAATTCTCCTGTCTCTCATTTCTCATTAGCAGCCATTGGCATGTAAATTGAGCCCTATCTGACAGGGAAAGGTTGCTACGTTATACTCGCTGGGCGTAACCTCCTTGGTTTTCGAAAGGTTTAGCGAGCGTTTGGTCGCAGCGCCATGAATACAGTGAACTAGAATATACCATGAACTCGAGGTGGTTAAAGGTGGGAAGTGGACCCAAAGCGCAGGCCGTAAGAAAGTGTGCGTGTGCCACCTCTCGTTTAGTCCTTGGAATGTCCGCTGGATGGCGGTGCTTCTATATGGGGAATATATGATAAAAAGATGCGAGATGGTGGGACTTGGAGTGTTGAATAGATGGACGAACGGACACACAGACAGATGCATGGATGGACTGCATGAACGGACGCAGGGGCAGATGCATGAAAGAACGCAGGGACGGGCGCACAAACAGACGCATAGGACGGTCACACAGACGGACGCATGGACGGACGAATGCTTCGCCCCACTCTCCATCATTCACTCCGTGGATATGCTGCCATTTTTTCTTTTCTTTTTTTCTTCGAATGCGCTGCTTTTTCAGTGTGAACGCGCGCGCACGCTTGTACAAGTGATGGCCTCCCGCGGCGATCTCTGTAACGAGAGAGCGCGCCCAGTTCAAATCAGCCAATAGCTGATAGATGGGTCGTTGACAGGAGATTTTTGTGCATATAACATGATTTTTCAAGAGAAGAGAAAGCAATTACTAGCTGGAGTTGATAATCTATTGTGAATTCCAGGCCGCGGGCTGTGCTTATAATATTTGGCTTGCGTGTTGTCGGCCGATCCACAGCGTTTTCTGACCATGCTAAAACAGCATTGAAGGGCCCCTTTAAGTCTTTTCGCGTATTAAATGACGCTTGTTTCCTCATGAGTGAATTCAACCACGTTCACAATGAACTCAAGCTATTCCACTGAAACGTGGTACTGCAATGTCGAACCAATCATCCTGGCTAGTATGTGAAGCACGTTGCTTACGCGGTTCTCGCGTCGCATGCCGGTTCGCTTGCATTCCAATGTATGCGCGTATTTGCGCATTCTTCACAAAAGTTTTACTCGGGTTCATGCTCAGGTGGGGGGGTGTGTAGCCTGTTCATTTAACACAACGAAGAATTTTGTGAGCAGCGCGCGCAAGCGAACTCTCGTGACGCGGCAGCGGCGGTGAACTTGCGAACAGCATGACGCACTTGTACTGCCGTCCCTCCGTGGAGCAGCTATCTGCTGGTGGCTGTGATAAGGTTGCGGGGGGGGGGATTAGTTGAAATGACGAGTTCATCGCCTCTAGGAACCTCTTCATTGCTCTTTTTTTTTTATTATCTGCTAAGGCACTGCAGCAACTGCGCGGGAGTCGTTATCGCTAATAGACTGGTCTCCACTGTTACCGAAAGATAGCAAACCTTTTGCGGCTTATTGTGGGGTCGGAGAGTTCAGCGTCACGGTGAACTTTTATGCTACAAAAGTAATCTCTTCTAGCATTTATGGCCTCTTGCGTTCAAAGGCATTGCTGGTAATCGTCGGCGGTTGTAGATCTCCAGAACGGTGTCAGAAAATTTTGGTCTGAAATCTGCGTGTGGTGCTTGCCACGGTCCAAGATATCTTTGGCGCAAGTTAACGGCAGTGGGGCACATGCGAGCGCGCGTCTTTCACATGCTTTAGAATGCCTGCTTTAACATTTTTTTCACTTCCTATGCACCGTATTTTTACAGTACTGTATTGGAAGTGGTCGTTCTAAAAGCAGGAAGCTTTGAAAAATGTTCGTTGTCTGTGGACTCATTTTATAAGGGCAGCATAGAAATATCCTAAGTGCACTGAAATATGATCGTTATAACTGAGATCAGAATATGTGGAATCGTTACAAGTTGCGGAACAGTAGTTCAACCCACATATAACTACAATTATGTTTATAAAATTGGATAGCTAGCACTGCAACCAGAATCGTCGCTTCAAGAACAGTAGGGTCTGTTGGAAAAGTAGTTCCAAGGCCTGGCCTAGCTCTGTGGTAGAAATCATTTGATTTCCGTGCCGAATGCTGGCGTTTGTTTGATTCCTGCTGGGACCCTGACACTTATTTATTATTTGCTTTCGTGGTGTCGACGATGCCGATGTCAGTGTTTTTTTAACTGTCAATCAACAGTGGCGCATACTCGCATGCCAGTCGCACATATCCGCCCTCTGGTATCTGTCACATACCAGCAGCACAGGGTTTTGTCCTGCAGGAATTACTGTGCGCCACTTAATCATTTCTGAATATTTCGTTTCATTGGTGTTGCATGGAGGGTGCTTCGGTAAAAGCATCTTAGCATCCTTTTTCTTAGAATCGTCTTAAAAAGGTCACTTTTTTTTGTAAGTTTATGTGACCTGTAGGTTCTGCTGCGCTGCATGCATTTGGTTCGAGTATGTGGCCATAAACGTGTTGTCTCAGTAAACACGCTCCAGTCTTTCAGAATGTAATTGATCAGTTCTTCTGTTCCAGACCAAGAACAACAAGCCCATGAGGACAGGACAGCTGTTCTCCCAAGACTGCAACCAGGCCTTCACCATGCTTTACAACACTCGTTTCGATACGATCCGTGCAGTGGCCAGTAAACGCACACCCACCCTCAAGCCCAGCTTTACCGCCAATCCGCTGGTAAAAAACCCCAAGCATGCGGCCGTGTTGGCTGACAATGGCATTGCCTATGATCAGCCCCCAACTCCTGGCAGACTGGCGGCACTGCGGGCAGAACGCATTGCCAAGGAGAAGCAGAAGAGCCAACTGGCTGCCGCTGCCGTGAGTACAGTTGCGGTTGTCGTGATGAGTTGACAGTCGTTAGTCTTTCCGCTGCAAAGTGCACGGTCAACCACATTACATGTATCATTTTTGTTGATGCTTTGATTCAAGTAACTAAATTAACAGAAATATTGCAACAGTCGATTAGGCTTCGATTGATGGGAGTGACGTGCTATCGGCAGATGATAGCACTGCTTTTCATTTTGCCTAAAGCTATTCGAATTATTTTCTTCTGAACCAAAAACCAAAGTAATTAGCTGAGCTTTAGGTTGGGTCAAGACATGCTCTCGGAACGCTGTTTCTCGTTTGGGTTCAGTTCCAGCCAAAATTTGGTTTGGTTTCAGTTGGTTTAGGTTTAACAGTTATGAGTCACTCAAATGAAGAAATAAGGAGCTACAGATAGAAGTTAATGAGAGAAGGGGGAACGAGGTGCTAATTTTGTTTTGTTAGCCTCAACATTAATGAGGACGAACAGACAAGCTAAGGAAAGTATAGGGGATGTTACTTGTAGTAATTTCAATAAAATGTGAAGTAAATAAAGTGGACGAAAAGATTACTTGTCGCTGGCAAGAACTGAACTTGGTACTTTCGGATAATGTGTTCAAAGCTTTACCGATTGCACTGTGATGTGGTTTGCCCTCCCATCAGCAGATTTACACATAAGTCGGCAAACTCACTCATGATTCGACTCACTCAAATTCTTTCAAACTCAGATTGAGCCATGAGTCTGAGCGAGTCTGGATGAGTGATACCCTATGCACAGTAATCTATGCCGACCTTGATTCTAAGCCGAGCCCCCAAAGTCTGAAGCCCGGGAAAAAAAAAAAAAACCCCTCGAACGTAGGTCGAACGAGACAGGGAAGACAGTGTTCACAAAGAGAAAACATTATTGAACTAGAAGATGAACCAGTTGGTTCATGATGCGAATTACTTGAGTAACATATGCAGCTACTAGTAATGTTGTGTGTGTTTCTTGATCGTCGTTTTTTTTATGCTGCTTCTAGTCATGAGCATCATAAAGAACGCACACTCATTTCGAGTCGTCATCACTGCTTCCCTGGTCAGTGACTTCTTTGTCGCTGTTCTCAAACAGCGTGCAATCCTCGGTGCCATCAAACGCATTGGATATGCTGTACTTCTCAAAGGAGCACACAATCAAAGTTCCCGGGTTGTCGTCCCAAGCTGCAGCCTCTTCAGCGACGCACATTTTTTTTCGTACACTCCCAAGTCCCGCTTGGTTTGAATGTTGGACAACGAGTCCCAGGCTAGGAACACTTTCTTTTTATAAGCGGCAGTATAATGACACCACTTGCTTGGCGCCATTGAGCTACGTCACACACAGACCACTCGAAGCGTGACTCGAAATGCCATACGGCTCTCCTCAACAATTGCCACAAAGATCGAAATGGTGGCCTAACGTGTTTACCTAAAGCTAGGGGGTGGCTTGGCTATGAACGGCTATAAAACCATCTAGGTAGCGCTAGTTGTGCACCACTTTTTTTTCAATTAAAAATGGTGCATTTTTCAAAATCCTTGAATCTAAGCTGACCCTGGAGCTTGATGCAAATAAATTGGAAAAAAAATACTATCGGCCTAAATTTGAAGAAATACAGTATTTTGACAGCTTTAACTCCAAGTGAATGTTGTTAATAAAAATTTTCGTGAGTGTTAGTCTGAGTGAGTCCGGCTTGAAAAAAGTTTGGCGATTCCGAGTGAGTTCAAAGCGCAAGATATGTTTGTTGAGTCAGTCTGAGTGAGCTTTACTTGTTTTTGCCAACTTATGGATATACCTGATAAAGTGGGTTGTAGGACGGCTGCTGCTGTATGTACCTAATTTAGTAGAGGATCGAATGTGTTGTTCAAAGGTTGCAGATTTGATCCCTGCCAGTGACAAGTTGTCTTTTTGTCTTTAATTTCTTCACATTTGTATCGTAATTGCTACAGATAACATTCCCTGTACTTTCCCTGGCCTGATAGTTTGTTAGTCTTCATCAGAATGAAAGTCGTATAAAGTCGTATTACCCGTAACACACAATTAGATTTGCGTGTACAGGTGGCAGCAGAGGCCCAGCGTCAGCAGCAGGCGCAGCAGCACCAGCAGGGGCAACCACAGGTGGCAGGGCAGCCAGCGCAGCAAGCGAGCGTGCAAACACTGCAACAGCCGACGGCTGTGGCAGCTACTGCGCAGGCAGTGACTGGCGGACAGGGTGCGGCCGCAGTGGTGGCCGCCGCAGCGAATTCCGTGACTTCTGGGGTCGTGGCAGCTGCGAACCAGGCAACTGCAGCCGCGCTGCTCATCCAACAACAACAGCAGCAGCAACAGCAGCAACAGCAACAGCAACAGCAGCAACAGCAACAGCAGCAGCAGCAGCAGCAACAGCAACAGCAACAGCAACAGCAGCAACAGCAGCAACAACACCACCACCAACAACAACAGCAGCAGCAGCAGGTGGCTGCCACCCAGGCTGTGCTTGCCACTCTTGGCCAGGCGCAGCAGCTGCAGCCAGTCGCAGCCCAGCTGTCCAAGGCAAGTGTCCCACATCTCCCCTCTTTGGGAACTGTTGGCAAATGTGCTTTAGTGTTGAAAATTATAACTAATGCTGGCTAGCGTGTTGCTAATGGGGGGGATCTGTTGTTGTGTCTGCAGTATTGCCGTCATCCATTGTCGGTCTAATTTAATTTTGTTGTAATGCTTGTAGGGCTAGTCTGTGTGTAGGTTCAACCAGATACATTTTAACTGTGCAAAGATGATGGCATAAACTGGAATACAGTTGACACCCGCAATAACGAAATCGGTGGGGAAAGCACGAAATTTCGCTCTTGCGGGAATTTCGTTGACGCGAGAATGCGGCAGAAAAGACATGGAACACATGTTATTTCCAAAAGTCAGTAAGTTTACTTTGGCGGGCCTTACCATGCAGCGATTTCATGCCTTTCTACTCGCACTGTGAGAAATGGTAAATGGCCACGTCGTCATCTTGCTCGCCGAAAAACGAGCGAATTGTGTTGAAGGCATTCAGCACATCTTGCGGGCTTGTTGTTTTCTCTGGCTGCTCCGGTCGTTGCTCATCGGGATCGGCCGCCTCACTGACTGACGATGGCTTCATCAGTCACTTCCTTGTGCATGACGACACCTTCACACAAATTTCGTCTCATGCACTGGTCAGTGATGGCGGCACTGCACTGTTACCAGTACCGTCATCAAGTGCGCCCACAGGTGAACCTTCTTCCGGCTCCACTGGATCAGTGCAGGATGCCTGCGGAGTGAAAAAGGCCGACGTGCGTGAAGCAACTCGTTGTCCCGGCTGGACTCGTCGCAAACCATGCGGCGGCGATCATCTCTAGCGCCATGAACATGTCCACGTCAGTGGGGCGCTTCTACTCTATATTTAGCAGCAAACGCTGAATCAGCCTCTCCCTGTAAGCGCACTTCACACTGAGAATAACACCCTGATTGAGGGGCTGCAGCGTCGAAGTGCAGTTTGATGGAAAGAACACCAGCCACACGTTTCTGAGCTGCACGTCCACGTGATGGGCGCTACAGTTGTCGAGAAGAAGGCAGACCGACCTGTTTGCCTTCCGCATGTCGGCATCAAAGGACTGGAGCCAGCTGCTATAAATAGCCCGCGTCAACCATGACTTCAAGTTCGCGGTGTAGCTTACTGGCAGCCTGTGATTCCCCTTGAAACAGCGGGGCTTCTTGCTCCTGCCAATAATGAGCAGTGGCCGATTACCTGTGCCATTCATGTTGGCGCACAATAAAATCGTCACGTGCCGCTTGCTATGCTTGCCATTGTGACACTTCTGACCTTTAAAGTCCAAGGTCTTGGATAGCAGCATTTCATAAAACAGTGCCATTTCATCGGCATTATAGATGTCTGAGGGCTTGTACTGGCCGAGCAGTTCTTTGTTGCTCTGCAGCCACGACAACCTTGTCACCGAGTCGACGGCTGCTGCCTCCCCAGAGATGACATTGGCCACGATGTCGTGGCTAGCTTTGAAACGGCTCAGCCAGCCGGGACTCGCCCTAAAGTTGTCGTGGCCGTGCATACAAGCGAAGTCCAGCGCCTTCTGTTGCAGGATCCTGCCAGATAAAGGCACCTTGTTGGCACGCTGCTCACAAAACCACGCGAACACCGCCTTGTCCACGTCCGGGAATGCTGTAGCCATCACGGTTTTGTTTCTTGCACTCGTGCCGTTTTCAAGTGCACCAAGAGTGTAGGCCGTGTTCTTGAGAATCATGGACAACGATCTGCAAGCAATGCCGGATTCTTCGGCGATGTCCTTTTTTTTTTCCCTTTTCCACCTCGCTGATGCTTGCAGCGTGATGAACTTCCGCTTTTTCGTTGGTGGCGGCATCTTCGCAGACAGCAAAATCGGATGAAGCAATCGCAACACACGGTTCACGTTGCACCAAGCGGCCAAGCAAGCTCTCCACAAATGGCTCCACACACGCCAACATGTGTGCGCAAAGCTGACAAAGCAAAGCACAGAGCCAAGACAACGAACGAAATTCCATGAGGAATGTGTATTTGGCTACGTACGTGTCTGCGATAATGAGCAGGTGTTTCAGCAAGCATCATCATCATCAATGTTGCAAGCTTTACGTTTTTTTGTTTTGTAAACAATGATGGCGGCTGCTTCTCAAGTGCACTTAGCAATATTTTTGCACAGTTTTAAGTGTAGCATGAATGTATTTCAGCGGTTTTCGAATGTAAATGTGTCGAGTGTAGATTAATTGCGCACTCATGTTTCAAATATTTCGTTAATGAGGGACTGCGATATGAATATCTTTCATAGTCGCGAGTTACGCATCGACTCCTATGGGCGTTCGCTGATGCTCCGAAAATATTTCATTGCGGTGAGAATTTTGTTTGCTCGGGATTTCGTTATCGCCGGTTTTGACTGTACGTCTGTAAACACACCTATGTGCGTCTGTGTTCCTGGTTATTTCTTGTCTTCTTTGGGCAGTTAAACAATATCTTGCTGGTTTTGTTGCCTGCCAAGGGTTTATAGCTGCAATAACTCATTTTGAACATGGAATTGAGCCTCAAATATTGTTTAAAATATGATTCGACAGAGGTGGTCGCTAGATGGAGTGTCTACTGCTGTTTACGTAGTGAGAAGGGCTTGACATAATTTTTAATAGTTCGAATAGTTTGTATCACACAAATAAAAATCAGCATTTTCTGTCATGACCCAACTAACTTGCACAATATATTTACGAATTGGAACTAAGCCTGTGCGAGTGTAATGTTTTTAGTTTGAAGTGAAGTGGCAACAAATTAAAATAGGGACAATATATATTTATTTTATTTAGCATTACTGCCGATCCCGCAAGGAGGCCATTGCAGGGAGAGCATACATGATACAAGTGCATACACAATACAAGGGTACACATAATACAGAAAGACAGGAAATAACAAACAATAATTATGTTCACAGAAACTGCACAGCATGTACATTCGCTTCTATCATCTATTAGAACACAAGTAAAAATGAGGCGTTAGTAGCAGTAGCACTCAATCGGCCCCACTCTCTTATGGTTTGTGAGAAATATGAATATTTAAAGCAATTAGAGTTAGTGTATTCATTAAGTGTTTGCGAGTGCCTGTAACATGTCAGTCTTGAACTACTGAAAGAGATTATTAGTTTTGACCTGTTGATGTTCATGTCTCCATGAATTCATTGAAAGAAAAATTTGAATCTTGCTATTTTTGCCCGACGTTGTAATGTTAGTAGACCAGCTTTATTTAGTAACTCCGTAGCGGAATCCGTTAAATCGTATTTATTATTAGTAGCATTAGGACCCAAGTTATAAGCTGTAAAATGTCAAGCTTTAAAATTTGTTATGGTTAGCACGTATAAGCCCTCTTAACATGCTTGCAAACTTTGAATAATCAATGTACAGGTAATATGTACACTTCAACCTTGACGTATAGCTTCACTGCAATGTCAACATTTTTTTTTTTTGAAAGGTGGTTTCACGGCATAACAGCTTCCTGCTGCAGTGAAACCATTTTTTTTTTTTTGGGGTGTTACGTGTGGTCCAATATACAGTAAAACCTCGTTAATTTAAACTCGGTCATTTCGAAATTCCGCTTAATTCGAGGGATTTCCGTGGTCTCGTATTTTGCAAGGGATAATTTGAAGCAGCGGCCGGCACCAGCCCAGTTAATTTGAAAACTTTGGGTGTCATGTAACGGTTCCAGATCCCGATTTCGCCGCAAATCCGTGGAAACGATGGCCCTTAATAGCCACAAGGCAATGTAACATATCGATACTAATAAGTGGCAGCTGAAGCATCTCAGCCTCGCTACTTTTAGCGCAAAAAAAAGAAAAAAAAGAGAAACGGCCGCTTTGTCAATCATAACATGCGCTTGCGGAAAACGAGACGTGCTTCACTGCAATACAGCGATGACACGTAGGCAGTTTGTTGCATGTTTCTCGCAACGTAAGCGGGTCATGGTTTACCTATTCTTTCTGGTGGTGTAAAAAAATTAATAAGGGACAGTTTTGCGGAAACCGCGATGTATACGAACCTCCGATTGCCGGTTGCTTTAGCAAATCGCATCTCGGCATTGCTGGCAAAGTTCTTGCCAGCAACATTCAAAAGTTTCAAATATTTTTTCCAGCCAAAACACATCACGAGCTTCGTCATACTGACCATTATTAAATTCCTAGGTAGAACACTAATAATGTGCGAAAAGTCGCATCATGACGTGCTGATGCAGCGAAGAGCAAGCGACATGCTGCCCGCGTGTCACTACTGTGTTTCAGTGAAGATGTATTCTTTTCTGCAGGCGCATGTTTCAGGCGATCACGACAGCGTTTTTTTTTTTTTTCCTGGTGGCCGTAGCGGAGCCCACTGTTCCTCTATGTTCGCGGTAAAATTGAGAACAGGTATTGCTGGAAAACATAGCCCTTGAAGTCGCAAGCTAGCTGGCACAGCAAACGACGAGCACTAGTTACTTTGAATAGTTCCAAGTTCCTTGCATTCCACTTTTTGTACGTTCTGTTAATTCGAAAACCTGCTTAATTTGAAAATTTCTTGTGGCCCCAGTGACTTTGAAATAATGAGGTTTCACTGTATGTCTATTTGTTTATTTATAATTAATTAAACTAGTGTCGATGTGCACCAAAATACTCTGATATTCATTTGAATACTAGAAATGCGCAAATATTTTTTCATTAGCAGCTAAGTAGATACTGTAATATTAACTGCATATAAAAAAATTAATATGCAGTGCTTATACATACTAGTATATATACTCTATTGTAAAGTGAGCATGACTGTAATGCGAGAAGTGACTTCCAGGAAGGAAGAAATGAAACTAAAATGAAGGAAATATGTGCATTATTGCACTCTTTTAGACGACTCGAATTTAGGTATTTGATTGTAATGAGAGGGTTGAAATCAGGTAGCAAAACTCTAGATAAAAATGCGCGTTGCATTCGAGTAAATGCGGTGTTCCCTCTTGCTCTGTTTCAGAATGTCACCACTGTGGCATTGGCCAAATCCGGCGGAATTCTGGTCAGCACCGCTGTCACAGCCACGACGGCTGCCTCAGGAGGTGTCGTCAGTGCTGCGCCAACGTTTGCGCTCACCAAGGTTCCAGTAAGTTGACTTTCCTGAAATAGTGGGGGCGGGGGAATGGGTAGTCACCTTGTGAGGCTCATGCAAGGTCACAACTGGCCAGAGTACCATGGCCTTGTCAGAATCGGAGGCACATTCTGTCCAGTTGCAACGATTGAAATACCAGTGGAAGGAGCTGATCTCAATTAAAGGGACACTAAAGGCATATCAAGTCGAACTTGCTTGGTGAAATAGCTGTCCACAAACCTCATAGCGTTGCTTTTGTGCCAAGGAAAGGCTAATTTTGAAATTAAATCTTGTTTCAGTGGCCTGCATCTCATTAGCGCACTTCAAATTATCCGCCTCAAATTGGACACTTTCACAACAATGAAGTGCATAGCGTTGCCCGGCTTTATTGCGTGGCTGTCTACACTAGTAGCAGTAAAGCGAAAGTAGCGAGAGCCACAGCAGCAACAACGGCCATTGAACAATTTTCTGCCATGGCCTCCGAGATCACAGGCTTGCTTGGTTTTGAACTGGGCCTCGCTGATAGCACGACCTGTCCAGTTTAACCAGGCAAGAATTCGTGACCACCCAACCAGGCCACCCGTTCGGGAGAAATTTTACTAATTTGACAAATTGCACATGGGCATGGCAAGCTGGAAGGTGCTGTGACAATGCTCTTTTTTCAAAACCAGGTCACGGCAGTGGCCACTCTGAGTACAGCCGCTCTACGACCGCAGCGACCGCAGCCACCAGTCGTCACAGCCACCACCACCATGACGGTGCAGGAAATGGTGGCCGTGGCTACGGGCCAAGTTCGTGGGCTGCCGGTGAGCAGTGCCATCACAACTGCGGGTGGCAGCACTCCCGCCGTGGTCTCAGTCACCAACCTCGGCTCTGCCCAGTTGCAGCCCGTTCCGCAGAGGATCTCCACTGTAACGGCCGGTAAACAACTGTTCTAGCTCATGTTCTGCATGTCCGACTTTATCATAGGGCTATTTTTTACTGTTGCCGACAAATAATTCGAACGCTAATAATTGAAACGTGCAAAATTGTTAAGACAGTTCTGCAGGACTGTCTCGCAACTCTCGGGCAAGATGTGCAGTGAAACCTCGTTAATTCGAACTCGGTCATTTTGAAATCCCACTTAATTCGAAGTATTTTCGCAGTCCTGTATCTTGCAATGTACTTTTGAGTGGATAACTTGAAGCGTCGGTCAGCACAAGTTCGGTTAATTCAAAAACTTTGGGTTGGGTGTAGTGTGCTAATTCCCAATACCGATTTCGCCGCAGATACGCGGAAATGACGGCTTTTAAGAGCCACTAGGCAATGTTTTTTAGCAATACCTATGAGTGGTAAGGTGAAGCACCCCTGCCTCGCTATTTCCGGCACGAAAAATAAAATTTTATGCAAAAAAAAAAAATGGTCTCGGGATCAACTAAAATGTGCGCCTGTGGAAGACAAGTTGTGCTTCACTGCAATACAGCAGTGACGTGCGGGCAGCATGTTTATGCTTCTCGCGACGTCAGCGTGTCACGATTTATCCATTCTTTCGGGGAATTTAAAGAAATAATGAAGGACAGTCTGGTTGAATTCCCGATGTGTGTGAACCTGCGAGTGCCGATTGCTCTAGCGATTCGCGAACTTGCACGGCTGGCACAGTTCTTGCCTGAAACGCCTACTTCGAAAACTTGGGTCGAAAGCTTCAATGGTGATGCTTTCCAAGCAAAACACATGAAGAATTTCGTCACACTGTCTATTATTAAATTCTGTGTTTTACGAAAAAGAATAGGTGGTGAATGGTCGCATCATGACATGTTGACCAAAACGACGACACAGAGACAAGAAGGAGACGAAGGACACGAGTGATAACTTTTAACCGAGTTTATTGCGCAGAGTGCAAAAAGGTATTGGGAAGACAGTAACCATGTGACAAAAACCATATGGCACAAAGAGCAAAGCACGAGTAAGAGGGGAAAAAAACAAAACAAAAGAACAGAAAAAGGCAAAGAAAAGTCTATAAGGAAATAAAACAGAAAAGTAAAAGTAATATAACCACTAGCGTGCACCAAAACCTTCGAGGAACCTTAGTTCCTTCTGGGACAAAGACACGGAGGGCTTGCTAATGCATGACACCTGTGCGTGCCATCTGCGCGGCCTCGACGATGACTCGGGTGCGCTCATCCTTGTGCTTGTACAGCGTCGCTGTGTCCTTGGAAAAAAACACACAGCTGCACTCAGTGCAGTGCTGAGCAAGAAAACCATCTTTCCCGTTTCTAACATTGTTAGCGTGTTCTCTCAGTCGATCGTTCAGACACCTTCCGGTCGTTCCGACATAACAAGCACCGCATGAAAGGCGGGTCTTATAGAAAACTTCCCGGGGGCATGCCGCATACCTGTTTCTATGCTGAACTCTGCATTCCATTGATGACTGCGTTTTCAGGGGGTTTGTAGATTTGGTGAGGCTGATTAATTTGAACGGTGCAGAGAACAGGACACGAACTCTAACACGTTTTCCGATTTTCTTGAGCCTGTGTGCGATCTGGTGTTTGTATGGAATCATGGCTATCCTTTCATGCTCTGTATCCGTGTTGCTCGGATACTGTCGCTGCCTCTGCTCTGCCTTATTAACCCGCAGAAGAGTCTCAGCAGCGGAAAGGATAAACGCCTCCGAGAAACCCAAAGCCTTAAGCCGGGAAACTTGAGCTTTGAAGCTCGGAGAGATGTTGTGGACGCACGACATATTTAAGGCATTCTCAAGAGAGGTTCGTGCTATGCCTCGCTTAACTGTCTTAAACGAACCTGTGCACGAACCTGTCTTGAGAATGCCTTAAATAGGTCGTGCGTCTACAATAAAGGCCATGATAGCGTGGTAGTAGCTTCTCTGATAAGCCGACTTGGCGGTTTGGTGTCGAGAGAAGTGGCAGAGACCCCGGCGAGAAGTGCATGCTTTGGTGGCAACTGTCGTAATGGTCTTTTTGGTGCTCTTGCGACAAGTGCAGCCGATCATGAGCAAGCTGACGGGCTGCATGGGCTCGAGAAATGACATCGCTGGCGTACTCAGTAGACAAGGGGGCAGCCGAAGGAAGGAGCGTGTCAATAGGTAACGCTGGGTGTCGGCCAAATAGCAAATAAAACGGAGAATAACTAGCTGTGTCGTGCCGTGAAGAGTTGTACGCAAAGGTGACAAAGGGGAGTGTCTTGTCCCTGTCACGGTGATCTGGTGAAACATACATAGACAGCATCTGCGTCAGTGTTCGGTTCAGAGGCTCAGTCAATCCATTTGTCTGTGGATGATAAGCGGTGGTAAGCTTGTGCTCAGTTACCTTTTACTGTTGATGACCTGTCAGCAAGAACTATATCATTGCTAATATTTGTTGCTGCTAGCGTTTCTCTTGACACCACTAGTACACGTGTTGTCGTGTGTTAGGTTCGTCACATAGCAAGGCGTGTGACGCGAGGAAGATGGAGGCAGTGAGGAAAACAAACGGGAGTTATATTGGATGAACAAAAAAAAAAACTATTGCGCGTACAGTACTGTAAGTCGTACACGCGCGTGGTTCACACACAAAAGAAAAGAGTAACCAGTCTCACAGTCTGTGCCGTAGCCCGATGCCTTGAAGTGGGACCCGTTGCGTGCTCGGATGCAGTCGTCGCTTGGGTGCCAGGTCAGCATACCACTGTCTATATCACCAGGTCTAGGCGTAGCCACACACTGCCAGCGACGTCGGCTCGGTAGACGTGGTCAGCAGCTCCGGTCTTTCGAGGGCGCTCGCCGTACCGGAGATGTCCACAGGACCACTCACCGAGAACTCGTACTGGCCACGCCGCCACGCCGTGCCCCGAGGACGTCAATGGCTCGAGGACAGAAACCCGGCCTTTCGAACCTCGCGCGTAGTTGCGGGTTCGCCCTAGGCTCCCTTGCGTCGTCTTGCCGGCGTCCGAACGGCTTCGTTCTCCGCGAGCGTCTCCTCTTCTTTTTTTTAATGGGCGCGCTGCAATGCCCCTTCATTCTTCTCATCTTCTAAATGATGTGGTGCTGTCGTCTGCTAGGCCCGAATTTTTAAGGTACTACATCACATCACCCCCCACTTAAAAAAGTTACTACATCACACGTGTGTTTCCCTTCCTAATTTTTGCCAGTGTTGTGCTCGGGCAGTTACAGCCAGGTGTGCATTATTTGTTTAGACACTATGATGGTTGCAAGGTCTTGGTCATTGCTTTTCTTGTTCTGTGCAGTGAGCCAGGTGGCGGCAGCTCAAGGGGTGACCAGCGTTCAACCGGCCCGCAGTCTCACTGCCTCTCAGCTGCAGGCCATGCGCCAAGGCAATTTCCTGCGCCAACAACAGCAGCAGCAGCAGAGGATGCAGGTAATCCTTTGTGCTGCCCCGTCTGGATCAAGTCTGTTTTATGTGCCTGCTTGCTTTTCACTGGCCCTGGTCTTTATTTATTTATTTTCTTTTGTCTAACTCGTCAAAAAAATGTAAAACTGCTGTTCGAATGACACAGTTGTTAGGGAATTTAAAAACAAGCTTATCTTCAGTGCATTGAACTGTAGCTGAAAGTATTTCTCAATTCTGTAAGATGTTGGGTTGACTTCTAGGTGTGTGTCAAGCACTTGCCTACCAGCTACTGTGAATGCCACGTTTCCTGCCTTTGACTGGATAGCTCAAGAAACTGAAGTGACGAAAATTAATTTGTAATTATACACTATAGTGTGCCTCGTAATCACATATTGGTATTGATGGGCAAAACTTGAGGGAAGAGGTCGGGACCAGAAGTGAAATTTCTAGATTTCTGTAGTAGAGCAATGAAATTTGGCATGCTTGTTGGGAAGTGCACAGAATGACTGTTTACTGAGTATTATTAAAGGGTTAATGAATGCAAAAGATTAAAGAGTTAATGAAAGCAAAAGATTAGTGAAAAATTTTTAAACTTGTGTGCCAGTGAGGCAAGTGTAAAGTTGGATGGACCGAGCAGACAGAAATGTTTTTGCTGGCGTGGGACCTCCTGCGATGCGTGCGTACTGCATGGGTGTCGCCACGTGCGTCACAGGAGCAGCAGCTCAAGCAACAGCAGCTGAAGCGCCTCCAACAGCAGCAGCAGCAGCTGGCCGCGGCCGGGGGCACCGCTCAGGCCACTGTAGCAGTGCCCGTCAGCCTCGCAGCGGGTGCGGCTAAAGTCGCGGTTCAGCAGGCGCGCCCCCTGTCACAGCAACAGCAGCAGCAGCAGCAGCAACAGGCCACTACAGCACAACAACAGCAAGCTCAACAACAACAACAGGCGGTGGTGGCAGCTGTGGCAGCCGTAAAGGCGGCCACGCCTCTGGGCACCACGAAGCAGCAGACGGCCATAACGCGCAACCTCACGGAGGCTGAGATGGCTCAGCTGCTCAAGCGTCGGGAGCTCCAGCAGAAGCAGGTGCGTGCACAACGGGTGAGCTGCAGTGCAAGGGGCAGGGTCAACGGTAGAGGGCTTGCGTATTTCTATCTACGTATTCAAATAACCAAAAGACTCGCTAGGGCCATTACGCAGGTGTTAGAACATACAACAGGACATGGCTTTCATGGATGAAGAAACATTGCTGGTGGTAATACTGCAGCAATATTGTACGAGTTGTGAAGCTTCATAACAAAGTGAATATTATTACAAGAGGGCTCAGTCAATAAAGAAACTGCCTGGAAAGGCAGTGGCATTGCAGTTTGGAGCCATTCCGCTGTAATATTGTCTAATCTAGGGAAATTCATACTGCCATGAAGCCACATTTCATGGCTAAGTTTTGTTATATTACCAGTACCTCAATTCTTTTCCTAGATGCATCTTACTTTTATAATAATCCTGCTGCTGTTTATTGTGACAACGTTGTCTTGGCTTCCTGAACATGCATTGTGAAGTACAATTTCATTGTTGTTCACCTTGTGTGACTGTAAGAACTCGTGGCTTCTCCAGAGTTGTTTCATTTTCTTTTTAAATTTTTTGTCGGCCTTTTTGTTCTGTAGCAGATGGCAGCGGCCCACCTCCTGGCACAGGCGCAGCTTCAACAGCAGCAAGCGCAGCAACAGCAGCAGGCAGGCCAACAGACACAGCAGGTGGTGGCAGTCTCCCAACAACAGCAGCAGTCCTTGGCCGGTGCGGTGCAGACGCCCGTTGCCACACTGGTCAAAACGGTTTCGGCACCATCGGCGCTCGGGCCCAGCCAGACTGCCGTCACGATCCCCGTCTCAGCAGTCACCATGGCGGGCGTCAACATCAACGTTAGCCTTGCACAGGTGGGTGACCAGGTTCACTGCCCCAAGGGCTGTTAGCCAGAATTCCTGCGGCAAATAGGGCAGTATGAACAAAAATGAACAAGTGAAAGCAAGATCGACATGACCAAGTTAGGTGTGAAGACATAGCATACCGGGTTTACTAGTGTAGTGAACCTACGTTTTTTTGAGAAAAGTTGACGTAAATTACAATAGATTCTCAGTTAACGGAAATCTGTTATTCGAAACTATTGCCTCTGCAATGCTTGGTTTCGGGCTTCTATTCTGCACCCATGTTCATCTCTCAGTAAACGGAACTCCTGTTAAATGGAACATATTTTCCTCGTCCCTCCAGGTTCCATTTACTGAGAGTCTACTGTAGGTTTAAAACCAGCCATCTTGCTAACGTAGCGGTCGATCGTTAACCAAAACGTAGCGTCGGATGGTGGTGCAGTTGCGGTCTGTCTTTTTTTTTTCTTTGTTTGTTACGCTGGAAAAAAAAAAGTCAAGGAAATTAACAACGAAAATTTCGCACGATGGCATTACAAAACTTGCTCTCGAACTGCTGCTGGCCTTCAATTCAGTAGCGAGACTACGGAGCCTTTATCCAAGAACTTCGCTCTTCACAAAGGGAAACTGTCCTTGTTTTGGCTCGCCAAATGTGTGATGTACCTTTTTTATCACTCAAAGCTGTAAATGCGCTATCCGCACAGTTGTGCTGCACGTGCAGGGACATACGCTGCCGAGACTCCTGCAGCACGAAAGCGTAGCGCGATAGAGCGTCGCCGATACGCTCTTTCCTCTTCCACTTGCGTGCAGCAGGTGTCATAACTTGTGCAGCGAGGCTGTGCGGATAGCGCGTATACAGTGAACTCCCGTTAAGACGAAATCGTTTAAGACGAATTTTCGCTTATGCCGAACAACGTCGGAACGTTTGTTTGGTTTTCCATAGACGCAATGAAAAAAAAATCCGCTTAAGGCTAACAGCCTTGCACCTGCTCTTCTGTTAAAACGAACACTTTCGCGGAGACCGGGAGACCGAGGCGATTCTACAGAGGAATTATGGCAATCTTGGGGGGGGCATTCCCGCGGCCAGAGGGAAAGAAAATACAAAAGCAGCAATGGCGCAAAACGAATTCGCGCCACGGCGGAGAGAGGGAGGCAGCGACAAAAGAATGGCCTGCGGCATCACACGCACTTCGACCCGCAGAGCGAGCGGCAAAGCAAACAAGAAGAAAATGAGAGAGCGAGAGAGTTTTGAGATCGGCTATCGGCCGCGAAGAAGCAAGCAGGGGAAAAAGTAAAAAAACAAAAGGACGACCGAGACTCCCTATTCGCAAAGAGAGCAGCTCTCATGACCAATGCCATTTCTCAGCGGGAACATGTGAGCTCGCGTCGTACAGCCGCAGCTCTCTCTCCACGTGGATGTTCTCCCTCTCCGACCTCGCCGTCGCTGCCGCCGCCATTGCCGAGGAAACGAGTTCTTTCTCTGCGCCGAGCCTGCGATCGCACGTTTTCTATTCCATGCGCATTGTTTGCTTCGCTTGCCTCGTTGAAAATGGCCAGCAAGCCAGCTGTGCAACGAAAGCCAATCGAGCTTTCAAGGAAAGCAGAAATTTTGTCCGAAGTGAGAGCTGGCAAGCTCACGAATACCGAGATTGCACGCAAGTTCGGGATTGCGAAGAGCACGCTAACGGGCCTCGTGAAGGATAGTGCGCGGGTAACCGCTGCGTTGAGCGATGGAGACTTCGCGCCGAAGCGAAAGAAGATGCGGATGGCTGCGCACAAGGGCTTAGAGGATGTTCTGCTCGCATGGATTCAACGTGCTCGTAGCATGAATCTGCCTGTGAACGGTGTAGTTCTGAAGGCAAAAGCGGAGGAAATTGCCCTACGAATGAACGTGGAGTTTGCCTGCAGCGACGGATGGCTCGATCGCTTCAGAAAAAGACACGGACTTGTGTTCCAATCTATTGCCGGTGAGGCCGCCACCGTTGACGAAGTGACCTGCAACGATTGGACCTGCAACAGACGTCCATTATGGACTGGATCAAGCCGAGCCAGAGCACTTGAACGCAGTTGCCTATCAGGTTACTCCCTCAAATAAATTATTTTTGTGTCTTTTTCCTTCACTGTAAGTGTACTTGATACTTTCTTTTGAACTAAGATATTTGCATGCACCTAGGTATGTAGCCAATTCTTTTTTTGAGGGTGCTTCTGATAAGACGAACATCTGATAAGACGAACAATTCTTCATGGTCCCTTCGAGTTCGTCTTAAAGGGAGTTCACTGTACAGGCCAACGCACACAGATCGACTCTAAAAGTGTCATCCAACGGCTCGGTTCTCATGCTGCAGCGCATGCTCGACGAAATTTAAAGGGCCACTCACCAGGTTTGATAATTTTGAGGTAACAAGTGAAATGCGTAGATGAGGCATTCACGATCACGTCTGCCAAAATTCGCAACTCTACGCGCCGCGGAAATGGGTCAAATTTCAAGATAAATGCTGCTCCCCCTTCCTTGTGCGGGCGCACTCCCAGAGAATGAGGGCATGATGTGCGCGTATGAATGGCTCTACGTACACGGCAAAGCAGTGATGTTGGTCCTTTACATAGACGACTCTGCCCTGATGTTGCCAACAGTGGCACGTGACATGGCGAAAATTATTTAACACGACATGCGTAATTTATGTATTTGTTGCTTGAAGAAATTAATAAATCTTTAAATAAATAATGAGGCACAATAAGGGAATGTGAGCATTTAAAAAAAACTTTTTTCCCCGTGAATTGCAACGAGATGCGGGGCTAATGTGCTGGCGTTTCGCATGCGTTCGTGTCCCCGCGGTCAGCGAATTGAGCAGACGACAGCCGTGGAACGCTCTTGCGCGTTCGCGCACTCATTCTGCTCATCTACCGTGTCTAAGCCAGCGTTTCCAAACCATCCCGCAGAAACAGGCAGTAGACCTCAAAACAACCCTGTTAAAAGAAAAGCACCGCTCGCTGCATGGGGTTATAGTTATAGTGCAAGAACAGAATGACGACAAAGGGACACTCTTCTTGTCATACCAACTAGCCCAAACTGCCACACGCTGCACGGGGGTTGGGCTTGTTTGGGCACGTCACGCGCACACGACCTCTTGGTCTGATGCAGGAGAGGGTTGGGAAGAGATTTGGCTTGCATGGAGGAGCGGCAAGGATATCAAGCTCGTCTCTTCTTTTCCTCGTTCTGCGCCGTTTCAAAAAAAAAGAAGAAAAAAACACTTTTCTCAGCTTATAATGGACCGATTAGTAAAAAATTTGTGGCAAAATGTTTCTCATCGGACACCCAACAACTTCCATGGTCTAACTAAAATTTTGTATGGGGCCTGGTGAGTGGCCCTCTAAGCTTGAACCGGCCGTCTTTCTAACGTACCGACCGATCGACAACAAAAACGCAGTGTTGGATGGCGGTGCAGTAGCCGCAGTTGCGGTTTGTCTTATTTTTTCCTTTGTTTTCGTGCTGCTGTGCTTGCGTGGTGCTGAAAGCTCAAGGTTTCTTTGGCGTTCAACAGATGGGGCTCTGCTGCAAAAGGCGGGACTTTTAAATTTTTATTGAAGTCACTCGCACTGCTTGTAACTGGTTTGCATGGTTAATTAAACCATGTTTTGACTTTAATTGTATCATTATTTTGTGACATAAAGGCAAGATTTAATGTTGTTTCGATTATCAATTGCACTTACTATCTCACCGAAATAAAATGCGCAGTTACGTAAAAAAACGCTTTTTTTTTTTTTCAAAGACCAAGGTGGGGGAATTCGTTACGTGAGTAGATACAGTACTTAATTTTCCAAGATATTCATGCCATACCTTTTATACACAAAGATTGCGGCTTTTTATATGTGAGAGCATATCTTACTTGCTTCAGCAGCATTTTACTTGGCATGATTTTCGCCATATTCGTGCATCTTCGTTTTGTCGTGTTGGCGTAAATGTTGGTCGCTTCCCTGCCTTGCAGCAGGGTAAAGTGAATGCCTCAAAGCCGACCACCACGGCCTCTGTGACGCCGCAGCAGATGCAGATGCGGCAGTTGCAGATTCAGCAGCAGCTGCTGCAACAACAGCAGCAACAGCGGAAGGTTACACTCCAAACACAGCAGAAGGTGGCTAGTCTCTCCCAGGTATGCTGCTGCGCTGTCTCCTCTCTTTCACGCTTGACCCGCAGGGCGCGGGTTCGAATCCCGGCTGCGGCGGCTGCATTTCCGATGGAGGCGGAAATGTTGTAGGCCCGTGTGCTCAGATTTGGGTGCACGTTAAAGAACCTCAGGTGGTCTAAATTTCCGAAGCCCTCCACTACGGCGTCTCTCATAATCATATAGTGGTTTTGGGACGTTAAACCCCACACATCAATCAATCAATCTCTTTCACGCTTTTGATTTTCACCTCGTGCGTTCCATTGTTCTTAGGCATTTGAAAAAATTTTGTTTGTTTCTTGATTTATTTTGATGAAACTTACTGGGAGTTCGTGTATACTTCATGCTAATTTCAAATGCGCACTCATTTTTCTAGTGTAATGTGTGGTTTTTAATATATGCAATTTTTCATGTGCCTTTGGAAAGCAACTATTTTTCTATATACTGAAAAAGTTACAGAGTAAATTATCATTTCACGACATTCTGGAATCGAAACTGTGTGCAGTGCAACAAGAAATGGATGTTCTAAATTCATTTGAACAATGTTTATGCTATGTTGGACATTTTTGACTGAGTCAATTTCAAGGTGGGATTTCACTCATGTTCAACATACCATAACTTTTCATATAATTCGTTTTATAACATCTATTTCTTGTTTTTCTGCACACAGTTCTGATTCCATAATACAGTCGCCGACCGATTTTTCGGACCTGGCGGGGACCGAAAAAAAGTACGAAAAATCGAACAGTCCGAAAAATTCGTTTTCGCCAAAAATCTGAAGTTTATTGCATCAGGCAGGTTTTAAAAGTCCTTGATGCTGCCTTGCCTCAAACTACGCTTGGAGGCAATTTGGTTTGCCCGTATTTGCGCCAAGGTGACATCGTCGCCGTAAACGCTCGACAAAATTGTCACCGCGTTGGCGATCTCCGCCGCCGACGGCTGCGGGCGGTCGTCGTTGTCATCCGAGCCGCTCTCCGGCTCCGGGACAACCTGGCGAAGAATTTCGTCGTCAGTGGCCTCCGCGCACGCTTCTTCACACCACCTGGCTCCCGCGATGGCACAGATGGCGGAGCCATGGCACCGAGAACACAAAATTCGATGCCGCAGATAGCCGCTGCGAAGCACACAACGTCTCGACGCTACGCGACACAACACGTGCAGAATGGCGACTGAAAAAAGCTGCAACGACAATAAAAGAATCCTTCTTTCGCCTCCTCCCCGTGCGATGTGATGACGATAGTGCTGACCGAAGACGAAAAAACGGCATCCATCACCGCGTCTTTTAAAAAGCAAACACGGCCTCCGAAACTTAAAATATGACGTGCGCAGTCCAATCTCGGAGGCAGGAAAGGCATCTAAAGACCAAGCTTAGTCAAGCCGATGGAAAATCCAACATGGCGGCGTTCACGATGGCTTGGAACGTGGCACAAAACGAAAGATTTTAGTCCGAAAAATCGAACTTTCAGGGGCAAATTCGCCCGAAAAATCGGTCGAAACAATGCATTAGCTCTATGGGATCCCTGACGGTGCATTTATGAAGTCCGGAATATCCAACAAGTCCGAATTTTTGGAGTCCGGAAAATCGGTCGGCGACTGTATTGTCATATGCTGATAAACTTTGTAATTCTCTCAGTTCCAAAAAATGTTGTGAGAGGCACTTGATATTTCATGTATTCTACACATTCTACTAGACAAACAATTGCATATATGAAATCCACGTGTAAATATTCATAAATTCACTAAGCTTCATGAAAATCAATTGAGGAATAAAAATTTTTCAAGTGCCATGTCCCCAACATGTTTTGAAGTGCCGTGTCCACTTCGTGATCAGAGTGTATATCAACAAAAAAGCCAGGCTTGATGCCTTAATTAAGTTGCGTGCAAGAGTTTATCAGTCGGCTGCCACCTCATGTGAAGATCACCTGCCATGGGGTGACTTCTGGCAAAAAAGAGTGTTCCACAATTGTCTCATAAGCTAAGAGTGTTGCAGGCTTAGCCCTCCCAAGCTCACATAAATGCCCGGAAAAAGGAAAGTATGAGAGATTACTCTCTGTCAAGCTTATGATAGAGCACTGGATGCGTAGATTAAATGTTGCGGCTTCAGATCCCACTGATGGGAAGGGTGATTTTTCATGTGCTTTAATACCTTTCAGTCTAAATGAGAATCATAGCATTGCATATAAGAAGCCACAAATAATGTCTCATTGGCTTAATTTCATTATTTGTATATAATAATGTTAGAGTTGCACAAGCTAAGTGTGGAATGTCACGTGTTGCCCCGGCTTGTCTGCTCCGGCTTGTCTGCCCAGGCTCAGATGCCGGCAGGCAAAGCTCCAACTGTGGCCACTCAGTTGGGCACAGTGCAGATAGTCCAGCAGGGTTCGGCACAAGGGGCCAAAACCACAACCCTGCCATCAGCCACAGCCATTACCGTACAGCAGATCATCAAGCAGGTGCTGCCTGTAAACCAAAACTTTCTGGTGAGCGTTTCATTTTTATTCTCTCTCTAACTGCTTGACTGAACGTCATTTTAACAGTGCGCTTTGTGTCACTACCAACTTCAAAGCTTTTGTCAAATGTTGCAGTCAACCAGTGGTGCACACTGAAACCTCATTATAACAAAGTTGCGTCTTACATGAAAGTAAGTTCAGTATATCCGAAAATTTGTTTCAAAGGTATACAGTCGACTGTCAATAATTCGAACTCGGAAGGGACCTGTATTATCAAAAAATTTCGAATTATCAGAAGTTCTCAGATAGATGACTCTGGGTGAAGTGACACCTCACATTGTGATTAGGCATTGATTTTATCATGTTTAAAAATTTTTTAAGTGTTTTTAAACCTGAACTGCACACAATGAAGAAAAAGCAGAGGTGTAAGGTCTGCAAGTTCAGTAGCCATTTACTGCTGATCAGACCTTTTAAAGAAATCGTTAATTGCCAACTGCTTCCATGCTATAGGTATGTGCCTTTGGCACATAGCTCTATATACCAGTTGAGAAGCATCACGGTTTACCATGCATGTGCTTTGTTTCAAACATTTGTTTACTAGCAAAGCCTTTTTCCTTGAAGGCCCCAGGTGCTTATTTTTTATTTTTCGACTGTTAGGATTATATAAGCTTGCAAATTTTTAACAGTAGTGGGAAATTAGCATGTATTTTCTGATAAGGAACTGCAAAAGGTATGAATTAGCCAAATTATGTAGTTTGAATTAAGAGGCTTTTAATTACACTGAAAGAATAGAGAGCCAACAAAAAAATTGAATTTTGTTTGAATTAACTGAAAGTTTGAATTATTGAGAGTCTACTGTATTCGTAACACTATATCTAGTGCAAGACTATTTTTCATTTGCTTCATTATAACCGCTATTTTATTACATCTGCGTTTGTCATATCGAAGTGTGAGTGTAGTATACACCGATCGGGTCATTTCAGGCTACGTGGAAGTTGAGGGGAAGATAAAAAGTTTGAAGTGTTAAATTATTGAATGATGACCGCCAACGAGTGCCTACTTCAAAAGGCAACCAGAACACTTTAAAAAATTCTCGTGCATACGGTCTTTTTTTTTTATGCTCAGTTATATTTCTCGAGGTGCAGTGATTATTTTTCACACACGTGTAAGCATGAGCGTGGAAATTATGAGTGTGCATTGCAGGTTTCACATGGGTCTTTTCTTGCTCACAAACTCCCCATTTATGAGTGTTGCATGCAGCGAGTTTGTTCAATCCAAAGTGCAATGAAAACTTTCTTCTGGAAATCACTAATCGTGTGTTAACGGGGGATAATACGGGATTGAGTCCCACTCATTCTGATTTCTTGCATAACACTAAAACACTTCGTGAAACACCTGGGTTTCACAAAACTTGCTTTAGAAAACCTCCAAGCTCAACTCTGTTGGTGTTTAGGGAACCTTTAGTCTCGGCTGTATTGTTGTTTGTATTTAGTGACCTTGCTGCTTCCATTCAGAAACTGCTCCATTTTCAAAGCCTGCGTACTTGCTTGCACACTATGACTGGCATAATGTGTTGTGCCAATTCCTCTGTAACTTAGTTTGAGGTTCGAGTGTCGTCTGATCCTCCGTTATTGCACCCTTCTGTCACGACAACAGATGTCAAGTGCGATGCAGGCAGCGGCAGGTAGCTCCAGCGGCGCGACCACAGTGAGTCCGGCAACTCAGGTGCAGCTGCATGCCATGCTGCACAAGCCGGCCGTGAGCACGGTAGCCCTTGCTGCACCGACGGCGGTCTCTTCGGGGGCCACTGCAGCTACCCTGGTGCCCACCCGCATCATGGCGCTGCAGCAGCCACCCGGGCAGCCCGCCACAGTGGCCCTCAAGCAGGGCCTGCAGGTTGGTACTGTATTGCAGGAAGGGGGCAGTGCCATAAATGCGATATTTAGTGGCTTACAAACACTGCTCACTACTTAAGTTGAGGATGATGCAGCAAGCAATGGAGAGGAAAATGATATGTGTAACCTTAAGGGAGAAGAAGAAAGCAGAGGGTGTCAGGGAAAAAATGGGTGTGAAGGACACCATAGTCGAAATGAAGAAGAAATGGTCATTGCTAGGGCACATAGCGCGAAGGCAGGATAACCGCTGGTCATTAAGGATCACAGACTGGATTCCAAGTGAAGGCAAGCGGGTGAGGGGAAGACAGAAAGTTAGGCGGGCAAACGAGATCAGAAAGTTTGCGGGTGTAAAATGGCAGCAGAAAGCATAGGATCGAGTTGACTGGGGGAAAATGGGAGAGGCCTTGGTCCAGCAGTGGTAGTAGTCAGGCAGGTGATGATGTACGAACACTGCTGGCCTACATGTGCGATATAAAGATGTGGAACGCTTTAAAAGACAAAAGTATTTCAGCAAATTATACAGTTAAACCTGCTTATAATGAATTCCTCAATATAATGAAGTTTTTCTATTCTCCGTCATCGCTCCATATAAGCACATGTAGTATATGCGACCTCTATATAACAAAGTAACTGTGGGAGACAACCTTGATATAACGAATTTTCGGCACGAAGGATCTAGGAATCTTGCTCCGCATTTTGGCATTTCGCTACGAGCATGCATCTTTCACAGCTGCCCCGCCGCCGCGGCTCGCGTGAGGCGGGCCTGCACCCCTCGAGCAGGCATTGCGCCCGTTCTCGCCGCCGCGGTCGCATGCGCGGGTAAGCCCCCTCCCACCCCTATTAAAAGAAAAATTCCTTTTGCACGCTAGCAGTGCCACACTTTTAGTTAGCGTCACTTATGTGGGGCTGCGCTCCATATGGAGGGCGCTTTACCTAATAGTTTTCCGCGATATACGTGTCTGTCTCTGTGTCTTTCGCATTTCTAGTCTCACTGGGCGCGCATGGTGTGTCCCCCGATGACGTTCAGCTTTGCTTTTTCTTTAGTGCGATAGCAATTATGTACATGGACAGCCTCGGCTGTTTCCTTTTTTCTGCCGCCGCCGCCCTAATTTACAGTATATGTATATGTACCTATATATATGAAAACACAAGAAAAAAAAAAAAAGCCGCCCTCGTTCGGCGCCTAGCTCGTCACTATGCGCAGACGCGTGCTTATCTCCCACGCGTACTTTGCCCCGCGAATGGGGGGGGGGGGTGTAGATGTTTGTGCGTGCGCGCTTATCCTTCGCCTTCAGTGCGGAGAACCGCGCGCCTTCGACTTTGGCCGGAGTGATTGCGTTTGCAGGGCGCACAAAGATCACTTCGCTCTTTTTACACAGTCCCTTCGCGTTGAAACCATACTGATACTCACCGAGATAGCAAGCGCCGCAGCAATCGGGACCGTGCTTAAAATGCAAGTTCATTATTGCTACTAGAGCGATCCCCCCCCCCCCCCCCCCACCCTGCCCGCGTTTTTTCATGCTCGTTTAAGACAGGTAGTTTACTTTCTGTTTGAGAATTCGATGGCAGTTCTAACACGCGGAAGATGTTATGCACTTTCCAGTCGATAGGGACGGGCCAACTCATTTGGTCTCTAATTCAGCAGCGCTCGTAGCGCTTTTACTCACTCGTGAAAGTTACGATACGCGGAGGTGTGTTATCAATTTGGACTTGTTACGGAACATGGCGGCGACAGCAAAAACCCGCCGAGGGTGCCCATATAATCGCTATTGCAATAATAGCGCAGTTTTTTACTCTAAATAAGTGTTTTCGGTTAGCTCTGCCTTCAGTCCCCCGTTTGTTTAATTTGCACGTTTATTTTCTGAATTTTCGTACCGAACCAGCATATAACGAAATTCTCTTTATAACAAATTTTCCGAGAATTTATCAATTTCGTTATATCCAGGTTTAACTGTACAAATATCACATACTTTGGATTCAAGTTTAATTCTAGGAGATAATCTAGTCATTCCTCCTTAGTATACTAAAAAGCCGTTGCGTGATAGACTCATGTTAAGTGCTATTGACTTATATGAGAACGGCATGCTCCGCAGTTACTGCGGTCGCTGTTGGAATTCACCACATGTGTGCGCAATTGAAATGAAAAGCCGCATGTTTGAAGGCAAAAAAAAAAAGTGTCGGTGTCATGAGGTGCACGTGACGTACTTTCTTTGCCTGTGCCATACTTCCCTGCCTAGCTTCCAGTTTTTTAGTTGGGACGAGAGAAGAGAGAAAGCATCTACAGCATGTGACAAATCTTTGTAGCTCCACGTGTACTCGACAGACTGACAATTTTTACGATGGTTGATTCGTGAGGCAATAAACTCCTTTAGTGGAGCCATTGAATGGCTACTTGAAAAGTGTTGCAGGGCCGCTTCAAAGAGTAAAGCCCAATAGTGTACTTGGGCCCGAATCACGTTGTCTTCTTATTTGTTGGAGCAGGCTTCGCTTGTGAGGCCCCCGCTGTGTTACGATTCATATTTTTGCAAATTGGGGAAGCACCGACCTTGCGTCCCTAAGGCAGTCTATGCGCCTACTCAGTTGTCTTGTGGCATATGCAGTTGTGTTGTGACATTATGCACCGTGTGTGTGGTATGTTGCGTGAACCTCAAGCAACAACAGTTGACGTGTGCACTCAAATTTTTCTGTTTTGTGTGCTGGGAAAGTAAAGTGACATCTACATAATGCTTGTACAGTGATGCTGGAATGTTTGCCTCACCTTTTGGATGAAAAACCTTGAATCTTGGTTCAAACTTTAATTTTTTATCTGTCTACTTTTGTTACGTTTGTTTATTCTCATTTTGTTTGAAAGTTATTATTGAGTGGGTTCAGTGCATGTGGCTACCACGAATCTTCCTCTCGCCAAAGTTTTGCACATCCCACATCGAATTTCTTTTCTGTTTTGTCGTAGTCTTTATGGAGAATACTCCCAGAGCTGAATGTGTGTGCCCTTGTTGTAGCTGTGCCTGCGGTTAAGTTTCTATTATTTCCCTCGTTATGATTTTTAGCATTGCTTGTTCTGCTTTCTTTTTTTCTTTTTTCCCCTTCCCTTTCCTTCTGTCTACCCTCTTCCGCATGGTTGCCTGCCGTATTCATCTCACTGAACCCGATGCATCATCAATGTGCACAGCCCTCAACATCCGACCAACAACCCGCCAAAAGAGGCGGAGCACCGTCCTCTCAGTCCGCTCCAGACTCCGGGCGCCTATGATTGTTGTCTCTTTCCTCGAGACATGTCCTCCCCTCCTACTACAAACATCCTCGTTTCCTACCCCTTGCCACCGTTCGTTGCCAGGTGATCGCAGCCTCGGCAGGCACGGCGCAAACCTCAACCTACACCGTCGAAGGCTCCGCAGCCACTCCCCTCGTCGCAAGCATCGTAGCCGATGCGGCTGCCCTCAAGCCCGTGGAAGGCGGCGCCCTGCCCAAAGCCATCGCAGTGGCCGTCACAACAGCAGCCGCAGCGGCGGACAATTCCGGGGTGCCCCCGAACGTGACGGCGCCATCTTCGTCGGAGACCATCACCCGGGCCGTCAGTGTCGACGTGAGTGCGGCCACCGTGCAGGCGGTTCAGGCAGCCATTGAGGCGGCTCGTCAACAGGGCTCACTGCCGTACACCATGCGCCTGAGGAACAACCCGCCCAAGCCCGCGTAGTGGACTCCTCTTCTTGTGCACTTCCTCGTGTAGGCGCCTGTTCCGGCCAACGTGTCCTTCTCACTCGCTCGATGTGTGTGTGTCTGTGTGCGCATGCGCTCGTCGTGATAGTGAATAAGCAGGAACAGAACCGTGTACACCACGTGTTTGTTTCAGTTGTGTGTGTGACTAGTGCTGGAAGGAGGTGAACGTTCTTTTTTTTCTGTTCTGCCGGCCAAGTCACCGTTATAAAAGAAAAAAAAGAGAAAAAAAAATGTGGACTGCTTTTTAAAATTGTTTTGTCTCTTGAAGGCGACCCTTTGCCTTAGGTGTTCGTGCATTTCTTCTGCGCTTTTTTCCTGACCCTAGTGGCTGGAGACAAATGTTTAGGATACATATTTAGGAGTTTCATTCCACTAAATGAAAATGGCGTACAGGGGACTATTTTTAACAAAGCAAAACAAATTGTAAATTCAATGAAAGTTTCGCGGTCCGGGCACATGGAGTGCAACACTGTATCGAGAGTTTTGAGCGATGAAATTCTGTGCCTTTACACTCGCATATTGTTGTTCTTTCTCTAAATTTTGTTTCTCTCTTTCTCTTTAAATTTCTTTCTCATTCTCTCTCTGTTTTGGTTGTTTTTGCAAGTGTTTGGGCACAGTCAACTCTGCATCTCCTTGTGTGCGAGGCTCTCAGGGCTGCTCGCTGTACAGCTGACACTCACCTTGTATATAAAGCCTCATTTCAAACACCCTGGTAATCGTGTACGTGTCTCACTCACAAGTGTCACCTCGTTGTACAGAGTGCACCAGTGCAGAAGAACGAGTTCACATGACACCACTTCGTCTTGCCTGATCTTTGTAATTCATGTGAGAAAAAAGAAAATGAAATAAACGCAACTGCTTTTGTTAGCTTCAGTTTTTATTTCCACAATGCCCAACGATACAGTGCCAACTTAAATTTGTGTTGTCTGCGAAAGCATTCATGTGGAGGCAAGTATCTCTGTTGACTATGTCTGCAGGGCTGCTACAAATTGTGTAGGTACTGAGGGTTTCTGAAGTGGGTGGATCTCACTGTGAGTAGGGAATTCAGACAAGTTGGAAAAAAAAAAGAAGATTGAATGTGGAAAGTAATTGATCACATTGTACGCAGAACTGGTACACAAAGGATGGTAGTACAGGCTAGAAAACGTAGGATGAGTGCAGTGTCTCTCCAACACCAACTGGCCTGATACAATTTTGTCCTGTGGTTGGCAGCAGTAAGACAAACAAAATTCTGTAGATGAAAAAAAAAAGACAATAGTAAAGGCAAGTGTTGTTTGTATGAAAACTGCTAGATTGAGAGATAAGCATCATGCCACTACCAGTGCACTAAATCAAATATTTTTCCGTAGAGAGTTATTTTGGCGAGTTAATTGCATGGTTTCAGACTATGAATCTCTCTTGTGTGGTAAAGGCTGATTCTACTGAATAAAAATTTGATATTAGAAGGCTCAGTTTTTTTTTTTTGTCATGGTGGTTGCATTTTTGGTTGAGGCATAAATGTTCAGGGTGTATTAAGATCTTATGTGCACGTCAAAGAACCCCAGGTGGTCGAAATTTCTGGAGCCCTACGCTACAGCGTCTCGGATAAGGAGGTCGTGATTTTGGGACAATAAACCCCATCAGTTTTATTATGTCCAAGTTGTCTTACTGTGATATGACTTGCAGGTTCACTGTAAGCAAAACAGCACCGTCTCTGTGCTGTTCCCTATAATTAAAAGAAAACTCCGCCACCCGCTCCTTCGGATTGCTCTGGGCACTGTCGGTCAACTGATAGGGCTAATGAGGAACTGCTCGTCTAAATTAGGGCTGAAAAGTGTGGCAGCGAGTGTTCACTGTAGTCGATTGAGATACTCCACGTCGCTAAGCCATGCCTTTGTTACTTGTTGCCGGAATAAACGTTTTTCCAAACCTCGAGCCGCTCCCTGGAGCTTCTATATGGTATAGTTCTGGTCTGGTTTGTGGTCCGTGACATGGGACCGGTTACTCTTCGAGCCGCTGCTACAATGCGTCGGCCAGCATGGCAGAAACTAGCCGTTCTGTGTACGAACGCAATCAGTGAGCGGAGTTTCTTAGAAATAGGCCGCAAACGACCATGCGCCTGATCTCGCTGCTGGCTTTCGTGAAGGTGGTAAGGTGAGGAGAGCGTCTGATCCGCTCGGTGGCGGGAACGATTGAGCGAGTTAGTGTGCGGTGCGCGTGGCGTAGTGCGAGCCATCTGCCGGGAGCGCGCACCTGTTGTTTTGCTCGGCGCTGGAAGCTTCGACGGCGACGTGCGGGCCTACATTGGCTGAGGTCCAAACTGAGTCACGAGCGAAAGGTACGGTTGGCCTCGTTCTTGTAAACGTTCTCCGCAAGTTCGATTTTCGCCTGATCACCTAGTAACTCGGCGGCGAAGTTCAGAGCGAGTGCAGGTGCGACGATTCTCCGCATTGTGTCGCGTGGTGTGACGTCATGACTGTTACACTGGGGCTCCGGCAGCTCAAGGTCATCACGATGCGGTGAATGAACTAGGGAGACTGCGTAGTAGAGTCCTGGTGGAGCTTTCGTTCTAAATGAGGAAGCGGAACTTGTCGCGTCAGCACTTGAGACCAGCCTCTTGTAGATGTTAGCCTTACCGACATGGGGACAAGACCCGTAGCCAGGGATTTTTTAGATGCGAAGCAGCTCTTTGACTAACTTGTGTAACGCTGTCCCTCCGTGCACCCACACTGCGCATGCTTGTTGCTCGTGCTGCCCAAAAATACACCCGCAAAACTGCCGATTCCCCCCCCCCCCCCACTCTCCAATCGCAAGGCCCCGACGCAGGCAGCGTCTGCTAGGAAAAAAAGGGCAGTGGCTTAGCTCAGCTATGCCAGTATATACGTAGCGTTAGCAAAGGTTCAGCTGATTATTCTTAGCTGCGCCATTACGGCTGCCCAGACTACGACGTCACTCCTCTGGAAAGCGCATACCGGTGGCGGCGGCGAGTCGCGGGAGGTGCCGGCTCCGGTTCGTGACACCACAGATCGTTTGCGCATCGCATAGCAGCGCCCGCGGTGGCGCCAATATGTCTGTCAAGGCCATGACGTCACTCCTCTGGGAAGCTTTCCTGATTGTCGAGAATTAGCTTGATTACCATGCTTACAGCTGTTCCAATGACACACACACGGTATACGTATTATGTGGCACATGTATATTTATTTTGCCGGGCAACTACTTCGGGATCCGATGGGTTACGCTTCTCCGCTCTACTGCACCGTTGAGCAGCATTTGCACTCTCCTTCTCCATGGCTATACCACAGCGGCAAACGCAAGTCAGAGGCGCTATCAAGCTGCTCCAGCTCAGTGTCAGATGGCGACTGCACAGGGAAGGCGCGCGCGTCGGCGTCCATATGTCTACCAAGGCTATGACGGCACTCCTCTGGAAAGCGCACACCGGCGGCGGCGAGTCGCGTGCGGCCGAGTGCGAGGGAGGTGCCGGCTCCGGTGCGTGACACCACTGATCGTCTGCGCAGCGTATCGAACTGCGCGCACACCGGCGGAGAGCCGCGCGCGGCGGCGGCGGCGTATCATTGCGCATGCGCAGACCAGTGCCACGCGAAATTGGCTCAACGAGGCCAGTGTAGCTAACGCTACAAAAACCGACTGCTCGCGCTGCACAACCGTTGACTGGCCACTCCGTATCTGTAGGTACTAGATAGCGCTTTCGGAATTCAGTCGAGGGCGTCTTTATTTGGCTTTCGCTTGATGAGCGCTAGCGTCAACGTCGCCGCCAGTGTAAGTGTTAGCGCCCGCTGCTTCGCATTTACACAGTTTCCTTTAGTGGGAGTTTTTGGGGGGGAGGTGGGGGGGGCGGCACCTTTAGAAAGCCTGGAAAAACATATATTTTTATCATTTTTCCTCTGCGGAACACCCCTCCCTCCAAGCTTGGGGAGGGGGTAAGGGGCGTAATGCCTCTCCCCTTGGCTACGGGTCTGACCAACACCGACTAAAATTTCAAGGCCGAAGTGCTGCCGTAGTGACGTCAGAGGGTGGGAGCACAGTTATCTTACTGAGCATGCTCAGTAAAATTTTTTTCCCACATCTTTTATTCGGCCCAATCTAGCTGCAGCAGCTGCGACAGCGGGAGCGTTGGTTGTCCTAAAACGCGAATGAAACACTGGCTTGCCGCCGCATTCGCTGCGTAACTGGGCCCCCACCTCTGACGTCACTGTGGCAGCCCTTCGGCCTTGAAATTTAGTCGGTATTGGTCTGACGGGGACAGTGTTGGCTCTTGCAGTGGAACTCGCTGCCTGGAAACGTAACCGCGCAGTTCAAAGTTCTCACTTGTACAGTAGTAGAACCGACGTAAAAATTTCCCATAAAACTCTCACCGGAGAGCCCTTACAGATTAAATTTGCAATGGTGCCTGGTGAGGAGCTCTGGAACATCTTTTGGAGTGGTGATAAGATAGACTTGCGTTGTGACTCGATTATTTCGCTGTTTTCTGCCTCTCTCCCGCCCCCATATGTATCGTAGGTGTCAGTGCTCCAGTTAAAAGAGTGCTAACAGGTATTATGAGTATTTTCGGCTTGTTGCTCTAAATAAAAAAAGCGCCGCCATATCCACGAATGAATGATGAGTGGGCGAAGCTCCGGAGGTAAACCATGAATCCTCCGTACATTTTGCCCACCCGATTTTATTACAACGCTCCCCCTAGCGTACGTCGCCGCACTAAATCGAACGATTGCATTCCACCAATGACACACACCATATGTGACATCATTCCTATTTTATAACATCTCGCATCTTTCATCATCAACTACAAGTACCGCCATCTAGTTTATAACATCTTGCATATTTTTATCATCAGCTACAAGTACCGCTATCTAGTGAACACTACAAGAACTAAACGAGAGGGAGCTACATACAGGGGACGCACAGCCTACGGCTTAAGGAGCCTCGCCGCTAAAAAACTTGTAGAGAACCCTTAAAGAAGGTGTTGTGGTGTCTGGTAATGCATATAATTTATTTTTAATACTGCTACCCCCCCCCCCAAAACACACACGCCCGCGTGCGCACACACACATGCACGCACACACACCCACACACTCGGTTTCGATATCGAAGGGGCTGGTTCTCGGTGACGTGTCATTGCAGTGTGACCTTACAGGGAGATGGAAAGCCGCGACAGTAGACGTGTCATTGGCTTATGGGGTTGGCAAACAACGATGGATGAATCGTCCAGTGACCCCTTAGTGTATGCTGCGTTTTAGATTGCATACAGGACGCAGGGTCCGTAGCCTCAGTGGAACTGTGTCCACTCGTTCGGATAATATCTATTGGGGTGAGACTGGCTTTTAGGTGCTCCGCGACGAAAAGTTTGAAATCAGAGAATTATTCGTACTTGTTTTCTAACTTCCGCGTTTGGAGATCGTTAATCCTTAACTGTAGCCCCGCCGCGGTGGTCTAGTGGCTAAGGTACTCGGCTGATGACCCGCAGGGCGCGGGTTCGAATCCCGGCTGCGGCGGCTGTATTTCCGGTGGAGGCGGAAATGTTGTAGGCCCGTGTGCTCAGATTTGGGTGCACGTTAAAGAACCCCAGGTGGTCTAAATTTCCGGAGCCCTCCACTACGGCGTCTCTCATAATCATATAGTGGTTTTGGGACGTTAAACCCCACATATCAATCAATCAATCCTTAACTGTATACCACGTGGACGAAATTTTTTTTTCTTTTGCGATTTCTGAAAATCGCGTCAGTAGTCTTTGAAGAAATGTGGCGTACGTACGCATATCTTCAGAAGAAAAGGCTTTCTCTGCCGATGTCACAGCACTAGATAAAACTGGCCCTGCAGATTGCTATCATGCCAGCAGCTGCTACGATTGGCCAACACGTTAAGCCGATAAGTTACTCTCAGTTCTCGGCGAATGGTATTTGAAAGTGCAGTGAGACGAAGACGTGAATGTCAACAAGAGAATTTAATGATCCAACAACAACAACAGCAAAAAAAATCGACTCAAGAAGTACGCTGAGGACTGAGGTATCAAGCCGGATATGACAGGACGAATATGTCGCGTGAGAAGTTATTGTCGCACATGATGCCGGCTGTGTGAATATAACACTGCACGTCTCTTGACAGTCGCAATACGAGAACAGCTTGCGCCGTCTGTATTAAAAAGGCTTGCTGTTTTTCTCGTTCATCTTCATTTGTGCGTCAGATGGCACCTTTGGTTATTTCTTTGATGTCTCGCTGGCCCGAGCATATTTGCCAAAAGCCGGCGACAGGAAATTGCAGGGTGCTTCAGTGACTTCTACGTTTCGCGAGACAGGAGGAAACGGCGTTTTTTTATGCGTTCAGACTTCTAAAATGTATCAAAGCGCGAAAAAAAAAAAATGTTCGAAACTCATGCGTTATGAATTGAACAGCGATTCGTTTCCTACCCTATTCGAGAGTTCAATTTTGAAGAATATTTTTTGCATTTGCT